CACTTTAAGATCTCCTTCCTCCAGAGGGAGCTCCTGAGGCCAGGGTCCAAGCCTGGGGTGTTTTGCCTCAAGATGTCCAGTCCTATGAGGATCCGTACTGGGATTGGACTGGTTTTTACTTGCTAATGGAAAGACAAAAAAGAAAATAGGGAAGACCAAAGGGCAAGGAAAGAGTAAACAGGACAGTCCTCTAAAGATTGGACCTGGGAGTCCTCCAAACTGGAGCATAGCTAGAAGGTCTCACAGATGAGATGTAGGGTATTGATGTGTAAGGCAAGAATCTACTGGAAGGTTTCAGCAGTGAAAATGCCATTATGATGCTGGGCGTGGTGGCACACACCTGTAATCCAGTGGCTCAGGAGGCTGAGGCAGGAGAATCATGAGTTCAAAGCCAGCCTCAGCAACTTAGCAAGGGCCCAGCAACTAAGCAAGAGCCTGTTTCTAAATATAAATATAATAAAGGGCTGGGGATGTGGCTCAGTGGTTAAGCACCCCTAGGTTTAATCTTCAGTAGCAAAAAAAAAAAAAAAAAAAAAAAAAGAAAGAAAAGAAAACGCCATTATGCTAATGCTGGGGGAGCTTTGTTTCAGTGAAACTAGACTTTTTTTTGTAAAGAAAATTCTTCAATAAGTGATGCCTCTTCCGCTCTTCCTGTAAGCAAATTTGTGCTAAATAACATTTTGTGGGCTGGGGTTGTAGCTCAGTGGTAGAGCACTTGCCTAGCATGTGTGAGGCACCAGGTTTGATCCTCAGCACCACATAAAAATAAATAAAAATAAAGTCATTGTGTCCATCTACAACTAAGAAAAATTTTTTAAAAATAACATTTTGTTGCAAGAATCTTGGGATATTTCACATTTATGTTATATACATTATAGGCAGTCATAATCTATTTCACAGAGGCTGTTTCCCAGTAAAGCATGCTAAATCCTGTAGACACTTACTAACCAGACCACATAAAAGCTCTTGAGATACATTATCTGTCACCAGAATATTCAGACAACCGTAGTGCTTTGTCTTCCCATTACTCATTCCCAGTACAGCCATTCCCTTGGGGTCTGTGGACACACTGAGTCCTTCTCATCACCGCCTTCACTCTTCACCAGAATGCTCTCACTCCAGGCTCACTCAGGAATGACTTGGTATTATTTGAAATTATTCTGTTTGGGGCTGGTGGATGTAGTTCAGTGGTAGCACTTGCTTATCATGACTGAGACCCTGGGTTCTAGCCCCAGCAAACACACACACACACACACACACACACACACAATTCTGTTTTATGGACTGTAGCTGAACCAAACCACAATGTTGACTGGAACAGAGACTGGATGATGGAGTACTTCAGGTCAGAGATGCTAGAATCAAAATGCCTGCATGTGAATCCAGGTCACACCACTTACTAGTCAAGAACCCTCAGGCAAATTACTTAAACCCTCTGTGTCTCAGATTCTTCATCTGTATGTGAGGAGGAAGATACCAACAGTGGCTTACAATAACTTTATTTAGTACTTACTGGGTTATTGTGAGGAGTAAATGAGTTATAAAACATGAAATAGAAGAATACATGGCTCATAGTACTGCAGAGCCCTTCCTGCTTATTAGTTATCTCACACAGAGCCCAGCACCTTGCCAAGTAAATGATTTTATCAATAAATATATGTTCAATACTAGAACTTTTTCTTAAATACCTAATAATAGTATAATGTCCACCAATTAGAAAATGTATATAACATACACATACAAGCTGGGCACAGTGGCACATGCCTGTAATGCCAGCAACTCTGGAGGCTGAGGCAGGAGGATCAAGTTCAAAGCCAGCCTTAGTGAAATACTTAGCAACTCAGAGGAACCCTGTCTTTATAATATTAAAAAGGGCTGGGGATGTGGTTCAGTGGTTAAGGACCCTTGGGTTCAATCCTCAGTACCAAAAAAAAAAAAAAAAAAAAAAAAAGATACACATACAAACAAAAACCCAGCAATTCCACTGCCCAGAGATAATACTATTACCATTTTTACATATTCCATTAATTAATGAAACAATATTTACTGAGCACCATACTTTAAAAGCGTCATGCCTTTGCAGGAGAAATAATGGTAAGCAAAAATAGAAACAGTTTTTGTCTCATGGAGTTTACAGTCTAGTGATATGAGACAAACCTTAATCAAGTATCACATGATACAATAAATGTGAAACTGCAAATATGATAAATGCTATAAAGAGAGGTAAGGAGGTGTGGTGGCATATGCTTATAATCCCAGCTATTTGGGAGGCTGAGGGAGGAGGATCTCAGATTCAAGGCCAATGTGGGCAACTTATTGAGACCCTATCTCAAAATAAAAAGGGCTGGGTATGTAGCTTGGGAGTCGAGTGCTTGCCTAGCATGCCCAAGGCTCTGGGTTCAATCCCTGAAGTAGCAAAAGAAGAAAGGAGAAGAAGAGGTGTACATGTGAGCTGACCTGGTTGAGAAGGTCTGTTATCTGCAGGCTGTGAGAAAGTAACTACTGAGGTGGGAACTCAGTCATAAGAATTAATTTAGAGAACACAGAAAGGAAGTGTGTGCCCAACGTACACTGTAAATCCAAAGGCCAGGCAGGGAGAGGCAGCACGCAAGTAGAAGGAAGGAAGAGGTCTCAGCGTGCAGCAGCTGTGTGCTAGATAGAGCAGAAGAGAGCAGATCTAGCAGACTTAATATCCCACTTTAAAAATTATCCATTTAGTTAACAAATATTTATTGTTTATGAAGAGCTATGAACATTTTCACAAATCAAATTTATATTATATATTGCTGTATATATTGCTTTTACTATGAACAATTTCTGACAACACACAGCAATTTAAACAATCTCTCAATATCCACTATTAATAAGAATGCTGTGATGACCTTTTTTTTTTTTTTTTTTTTGGTGGTGCTGATGGAACTCAGGGCTAAGCAAGTGCTCTACCACTGAGTCCCATCCCCAGCCCCATAATGAACATTTTTGTATCAAATATTTCTTGGCATAACTTTCAAGGGAATTGCTATTTGAGCAAATTTGTTAATTTTTTGTTGTTGTTGTTGTTACTGACGACTTAAGCTAGAGGCACTTTACCACTAAGCCACATCCTAAGCCCTTTTTAAAATTTTGAGACAGGTTCTAAGTTGCCTAGGGCCTCACTAAATGCTGAAGCTAGCCTTGAACTTGAGATCCTTCCAAGCTGCTGGGATTATAGCGCCTGGCAAATTTATAAATATTTTAATCATAATCATGTCAGGAAAAGTGACATGCTTCACTGTCAATTTTTTTTTTTTTGGTACCAGGGATTGAATCCGGAGGCTCTTAACCACTGATCCACATCCCCAGCCCTTATTTATTTGTTTATTTTTTGAAATAGGGTCTCACTAAGTTGATTAGAGCTTCACTAAGTTGCTGAGTCTGGCTTTGAACTTGCAATCCTCCTGCCTCAGCCTCCTGAGCCACTGGGAGTACAGGTGAGTGCCACTGTGCCTGACTTCACTGTTAAAATCTTATGCTATGTGACACTATGCTCTTTTGAGACTGGTGCCACTGTTTCGTTTGGGGGCATTCATAGTGACTTCCAAAACTTTCTTCTTCATTTTCTGCAGGGTAAGAGAAAGTCATTTCTTTTTCTGATTTCCAGGGGTCCTTCCAATGACTTCAGATCATGCCACAGTGACTGCTGATGAAATGTCTTTAATGATATAGCTCAAGAAGACAGTCTTCCTCATCTGCTACATGGGAGAGGGAAGGTTTTCTTATCTGTAAAGGATCTTCCTAAAGAATGGAGCCACACTGGAAGATAGTTTCTGACATTCCTTTTCTCTCCTCTGGCCTCCTACTTTGTCCAATTCCAATTTCATGCACTAAATTTACTAACCTATTGAAAGGCAGATGGAAGTTCAGGCAATCACATCATAGACTCAATTTTCATTTACTGAGTTTGCTGACCGATGTCATCTTCTCAAAAGCCTGTGCATTTTCCATCTCCCTCTTTCAACAAATACATGCGTTATTAGATTACCTTCAAAGGACTCATTTACTATGAGGTCCTCATTCTAGGATTTTAATGATTAACACAAACTCGGATACACTGTTCATACCCTTCTTCGGTTCCTGTTTGCGTTCCACTTCTCTACTGCAAAATAAAGCCTGTTTTTAAGATCAGTGGGATGCCCTGTAATGCAGCCAAAGCTTCTAAGGATAGTCCTCAGAATGAACCTGATGTCTAAGCAAAGGTTGATTTAGCCAGGTGGGGTGGGCCCGCCTGTAATCCCAGCGGCATGGAAGGCAGCGGCAGGAGAATCGTGAGTTCAAAGCCAGCCTCAGCAACTGCGAGGCGCTAAGCAACTCAGTGAGACCCTGTCTCTAAATAAAATACAAAATAGGGCTGGGGATGTGGCTCAGTGGCCGAATGCCCCTGAGTTCAATCCCCAGTACTCCCTCCCCACTCCACTCCCCCCCCCCCAAAAAAAAAGTAAAGGTTGGCTTGCCTTGTACCAGGCACAACGCTAATTGAATGAAATAGGTTTTCCCTTTTGTTTTTTTAGATTTTCCCCTGTAATGTGCACTAAAACTCCATGAGATCGTATCATTACTGTCCCTGTTTAACAGATGGGAAACCGAGGTTTAGGGAGGTTGTTATTCATGTATAACTACTCTGATCCTTCATGGGCAACGGCCCCTACTTCTGTTTGTAAGCTGAGAAAATAAAGAAAAAGGGGGCAGACCAAGTAGGAATACACTAAACACGTAAAAGTCATAAAGGAAACAACCAGCGGGCAGAAACGACCCCTTCGGCCTCCTTTCCGCCAGAGTTGAGTCTCCAGAGTGGCCAGGACGCCTCCCAGCGGCCATCTCTATGCCTCGACGCTTCCGGTTTCGGGCTGGCGTCACTAGCGAGAGTCCCAGACGGCCCGGGCCGCGGGCCTGCGTGTGGCGTGTGTCGCAGGCGAGGAGGCGGGTCTTCCGGCCTCACTAAACCATTTCCGGCGGGAACCGGAAGACCGTCCCAGATGGCCTCGGGGCGGCCTGTGCGTGGAGCTGATCTCTGGGGCTGCTAGCCTTCCGGCGCTCTCTGGTCGCCTTATGCTGCGGGCTGCGGCCGCCTGCCTCCGCTGGGATTGGCGGCGCTGAAGCGCCGGGGCAGCGTGCGACATGTCTTCGGGCCTCCGCGCTGCCGACTTCCCCCGCTGGAAGCGCCACATTGCGGAGGAGCTGAGGCGCCGGGACCGGCTGCAGAGGCAGTCGTTCGAGGAGATCATCCTGCAATGTGAGCAGTGCTGGCGCAGGCCGGGAGAGGGGCGGGCGGGCGAATCCGCCGGGGGCCCGCGAGAACCCAAGGCCGAGCCCCAGGCCGCCCGCGCGCATGGCTGCCACCCGGGTGCCTCGCGCCTCGGACGCTGCCAGTCTCCCTGAAGCCTTTTTCTTCCTTCGTTTCACCCTTGGGGGTCGTTGTGGAGGGTCCCCTACCGAGTCTTGTGTGCACTGTGGGCAGGTGCCTTGAGTCTGCACGCCGTCCTGGCGCACTTCGGCAGGTGGGCTCCAGAAGCATCGCGTCGGGCCATCTCGCTGATGAGGCAGGCATTGGTTGACATCAGGCGCCAACGTGAGGGGTCAGCATCGATGCCTAGTGTCCTAGAGCGTGTGGCCATTGGCTTCTGAGGGTCCTTTGCCCTTATTCCAACTCGGTGTTCTTTCCTTAGTGGGGAGGAAGGTACCCTCTGCTGTTGATGCAAAACCACCAGCGGGAAAGTGGATTTCTTCACCACCACCTCTTGCCTTTTAAGGGTACAGAAGTGTTTCTCACTCTCAGATACGTCCTAAGGAATAGATCCTTGCCCACCTCCCCAAGTTACAACTTACTTGACACATTTGGGGGAAGCAGCCGCCACTCCTCTTGCCTGAAGATTGATGAGAGGATTCAAAGTACAAATAGTTGCCTGTTATTGAATTCTGATTGTGTTAAGTCAATGGTGTTCAAATGCAGCTGCATTAGAATCACCTGGGGATTTTTAAAAAGCATCCCCACTTGATAGATGCAGCAAATCAGAGGGGCTGGGGCTGTAGCTCCATGGCAGAGCGCGTCCTGAGGCACTGGGTTCGATCCCTAGCACCTCATAAAAATAAACAAACAAAGGCATGCTGCCCATCTACAATTAAAAAAAATAAAAATAGTTCAGAGCCCAAGCCACACCCCAGATCAACTAAACCAGAGTAAATGGAAGTAGAAAGAACACAGGTGTATCTGGAGGTTTTTTGGTGGTATTGAGGACTGAACTCAGTGCTTCACCTATGCTAGGCAAGTGCCCTATTGCTATGCTAGAATATGTATTTTGAGATTGGGTCTTACTAAGTTGCCCAGGCTGTGTCCTTGAATTTGCAGTTCTCCTGCCTTAGCCTCACCAGTCGCTGGGATTATAGGCCGCTACACCCAGCTAGTATTGGCATTTTAGGATGCTTCCCAAATTATTCTGGTATGCAGACAAGTTTGAGTACTGTGGTGAATAATTGGCATCTTCGAAATTCAGTGGAGCAAGTTTTACTGTTGCCATTTTTTACATCTGAGAAAATTAAGGCCAATAGTAAAACAATTATTTGGGGTTGCATAGCAGATTAATGGTGGGGATGGGTTCACATTTAGGCTCATGATCCTTATCTTTTGCATTTGTTTTTCTTGCTGGAACTCCCAAGAAATGACCCTTTATTGCCTTCACTGCCTCTGTCCTCTTTAAAAAGGGGAGCCCTTTAGGAAAAGGGAATGCTGTGCAACTGTCATGGTCAATTCGTTATACTCTTAGAGAACCTGGGAGACCAGAACTATTTCAGAAGCATAGGAAGAAGCTCCTCTTACTCAGTGTGATTCTCTCATAGGTTATGTAACTTCAGTTCTTAGGTCTTGGCTGAGTGCTCATTCTTTAAAAGGTAATACATTTAGTTGGGTCAGAGTCCCCACTTGTCCCTTTACTTTTTCAATTAACTTTTTTGAATCTGATTTGCTGTATCTATAAAGTGGGGATGAAGCTTGCTCTGCTGCTTCATAAAAGCAGTGCTGTGTTTAAGTGCTTTGAAAGCCATCTGTATAATAATTTATAAATGTAAGGTGCTCATAACCCCATAGACATCAATTGAATGTTTTTCTGCACTTCAAAAATGGATATGGTGGGCTGGAGTTTTGGCTCAGTTGTGGAGCGCTTGCCTAGCATGCATGAGGCACCGAGTTCAATTCTTAGCACCTCATATTAAATAAATAAAAGGTCCATCAACAACTTAAAAAAGAAGAATTAAAAAAAATTTTTTTAAATTCATGACAAGTCGGGGGGATGTAGAGCAGTCAGAACAAGAGATTGGAGATGGAAAGAGGGCTTTTTTTTTTGGCACTGGGGATTGAATTCAGGGGCACTCAACCCTGAGCCACATCCCAGCCCTATTTTGTATTTTGTCTTTTTAATATTTAGTTTTTAGTTTTAGGTGGACACGATATCTTTATTTTTTATTTTTATGTGGTGTTGAGAATCAAACCCAGAGCCCTGCACATGCCAGGCGAGCGCGCTACTTCTTGAGCCACATCCCCAGCCCTTAAGAGACAGGGTCTCACTGAGTTGCTTAGCACCTCGCTTTTGCTGAGGCTGGCTTTGAACTCGCTATCCTCCTGAGAGCATCCTGAGCAGCTGGGATTACAGGTGTGCGCCACTAAACTAATGGGTAGTGCCTGCTTGCGGGGCTTAGAGAAGAGATGGGGATGAGAAATTAGGAGGAGGCAGGAGAGTGAGACATCTTGACTATTCAGACATTCTGTTTAAGTTGGAGGGTTGACATTTGGGGAGAACAGTTCCAGATGGATTGTACAAAACCAGTATTCCTCAAATCCCAGCCTTCCCAAGCCAGTTAAGTTTTCACCTTCCATCAGCCTGGAATTCCCTGTTTAATCCTTGCCAGAACTTGAAGAGAAAGATGAAGAAGCTCTGGGGGGAGGCTTCCCTGATTTCTGGCCTTGTTTGTAGTAAAGGGAACCTTTGGAAAGAAGCCCTTTTGAATACCTTGTGTCTTGGTGATCTCCAAGGGTGGAATTGCTTTCCTTCCTGTTCAGCTGCACTGATCTGTTCAACCAGCATAAGGGAAGAAGGTGTCTTGTTTCTGCCCAGGAGTTCTATTTTCAGATATCAAGGAGAAACTAGAGTCAAGATAGAGAAGCTCTTTTAACAGGAAGGGTTGCTAATATAAGTCTTGTCAAAATTTTGTTTTGGAGCAGTTTTTATCTCAAGACTTACAGGGTTTGTAATCACCTCCTTCAAATGTAGCTGTTCTGTAAGGTTTCCATGGTCAGTTTCTTGTTCTGCTTCATGCTCACCAGATGGTACCCCAGAGGGTAGCACTTCGACATGCTGAACTGAAGAAACAGTTTCAGAATCCAGGTCTCCCTAATCTTCCCTGGTTTCTCCCCCAAGCACAGGGAGGGGCTCTCATCAAACTGAGAAAACTTTCCAAAAGAAATTGGATTGTTTTAAACTCCCTCCCTAGCAATTTCATCAAAATAACTAGGAAAGATTAACCACACCCAGACAGGCTTTTATCTACAGATTACCTGGGAGACATCTGTAAAATAAGACACTCTTGCCTTTCTCCATTTCCCTCTCCCCTGTGAGGAAGGGTATTAAGCTTCTACCATATGCTCCTTCTATTATAACAGGGGTTATTTGTCATGACCCTCCAATGAGGGTAGTGCCCCCCTCATTCTGTTAGTGTAACCACCTGCTTTTACAAACTCTCATTATTGTCAGTAAGAAAAATCTATAAATTTCTCGTCTTACTCTTTCATATGTTGGCTCCAACCTTTATTTTCAGCTACTTATCAGAAAATTATGCTGTTCCTTCTTCCTGAACCATCTTCTTCCTTTGAGACCTAACTCATGTCACCACCTGTGAAACCATCCATGAAAACAAGTCATTATTCTCTGGACCTTTTTATAATTTACCACATTAGATCTGGATTCCTTCCTGTTAAGGACTCTCATTTGTGTTTGTATTCATAGTGCATAGTGTCCTGATCTAAACGGTAGTCATATTTGCCAAATTCAAGTGCTTCTGTATTACTTAAAGGTGCATAGCGTTTTGTTTTGTTTTTGTACCTGGGATTGAACCCAGGAGCACTTAAACCACTGAGCCACATCCTCAGTCCTTTTTTATTTTTTATTTTGTTTGAGTCAGTGCCTCGTTAAGTTGCTGACGCTGGCTTTGAACTCACAATCCTCTCAAGTTGCTGGGGTCACAGGTGTGCATCACTAAGCCCAACTGGTACATAGCATTTCACTTTGCCATTGGTGTTTTAATTCCCAAGGTAAAAACAGTTAATTTTGGAAGTAGAACATTTTGACTCCCTCAGAGGGGTGACATTCCTGCAGGTGTTACTGTAGCTGGGCTGCCCAAGTTAGGTCAAGAAGCATCTAGGAATGTATGTTCCTAGATTTTATACGATTGTTACAGTATGCAATAATGAGGACCTCACACTTTGATACCTAATAATGATGTCAAAGCAGGTCTGTCTTTTTTTTTTTTTGGTCCCAAGTTTTGTAAGATATAAAGTATAAATACAGTATAATAACTTAATTTCTGAACTATTTCTTGTGTATATAGATAACAAGTTGCTGGAAAAGTCGGATCTTCATTCAGTGTTGGCCCAGAAACTACAAGCTGAAAAGCATGATATACCAAACAGGCATGAAATAAGGTATTTTGAAACTAATCTTTATTATTTGTGTCATTGTCTTTAGCATTTGTCTCAGTTCAGTTGTCACTTTTCTAAAAGCAAACCAAGTCCTGTTTTCTTCTATGCTCCACTCCAGTTTTTGTCATCTCCTTTCAAATAAGAACTGCTAAAACCAAATAACTAAAAGCATTGTTTAAAAGATCCGTACATACCTAGAAGACTTACCAGAACAATGCTCTCAGCTTGAGAAATTTCTGAAGCAGTTCACGTGGTAACCCTAGGTCAGGTTATCTCCTAACCCAGGAATACTTAGAGACAAGTAAATATTCCTGAATAGATTTACAGAACTTTTGTTAAAACAGAATTGACTGGCAAATAAGCACAAATTGCCTTTTATACAGTAAGGTCTGTTTGATTCTTATTTAATATTTTCAACCTTAGCTTGTGAAATCAAATTAGCAGGTTGCAACAAGCTTTTGTTTCTTCATTGTATTTTAAGAGAAAGTGTTTGCCCTGCTGTGTTACATACACATGTTTATATAGGGTGTTTGAAATATTTACTCATGTATGTATTACTGTATGTATACATTACTTAGGGTCATGTTCATAAAATCAAAGTCATGCTTCATCAAAGCAGCTTAAATGGGCTTATTCTAGAGTCTTACTGGCCTCTTTCCATGATGTTTGCACATTTGTTGGTCTGGAAACAGTGCCCATTATATTTATCTATTGCTTTATTCTTTTTGCACATCGATTTAACACTTGGCAATTGTGAAAACAAAGCTAGAAATTTAAGGGTTTGTTGTTGTTGTTTTAAGTGGTGGGTATGGCCTCATTGGGAATCTTCTGAGTAGTTGCCTGCCATCTGTGTCTCCTAATCTGGCAAGACGGTCTCCTGGGAGGCGAGAGTGGGAAAGATCCCAAAGCACAGATAGTTTCCCCCATCTGGGTTCCGTTTTTTGCTTAATAACAGTTCAGGAGATCCTGTTACTTTCGCTCCTGGGGTTTCTTTCATAGTACTTAAGATATTAGTTACGATGTAAATAAATATCTGACAATTCTTTTGGCTAAATTTCACTGGGATAGTCAATTTATTGAAAGTCTTTTCCCACAAACATTATCTGTAATTTGTCTTATTCTCCTGATTATCTTGTTCCTATTAATGTGTCCTTGTTTCCCATGAGTCATCTATGGTTCCTTTCTCCCTCAATATCTTTCCCCTCCATGTATCCACTTAGTGCCCCAGGTTCTTTGCCCCACAGTCTCTCAATCTGTCCCTTAGTTTACATTTATTTTGCCATTATCCTCTTTCTCTCATACCTGGACTTTGAAGAGTCTGCTCACTTCAGGCTTTTGTGACTGCAGTATGAACTGGGCACAAAGGGGTGTTTGCTAGGGGTGTGTTAAAGATATTCAGAGAAGATAAGTGCCTGGTTGATTTCCTTCCCTATGCCTCCTCTATCTCTCCTTGGGTCCTGCTCATTTCATTGTAATTAACCAGGAATTTCTATACCTGTACATCAGTTATTAGATTTTCCTTGTGTTTTCATCACTTTGCCTAGAGGCAAAATTCTGACTCTTCAGCCTGAGAGTAGTTTTCTAAGTATGGTTCCCGAATGAGTATCATCATCTGGGAAGTTGTTAAGAAGTAGGGGGGGTTTCCTTTGGTTTTTTTGGCACTGGGGATTGAACCCAGGGGTGCTTTACCTCTGAGCTACATCCCTAGCCCCTTTTATTTTTTGAGACAGGATCTTGCTAAGTTGCTGAGACTGTGAGACTGTCCTCAAATTTGCGATCTTCCTCCTGCCTCAGCCTCCAGAGTTGCTGAGATTACAGGCGGATGCTGCGGTGCCTGACTAGAAATAGATTCTTTGCCCCACCCCCAAGACATACAGAAATTTTAGTGATGGGTCCAGTAATCTCTTTATGTCCCAAGTTTTTAACTCTGAATATTTCAAGAAAACTGACACGGGAGCATTAAAATAGGTTGAAAATCATAATCTAGACTTCACACATAGTATTATATTCATGTCAATGGTGTTATAATTACTTTTTGGGGGGTGTGTGTACTGAGGATTGAACCCAGGGCCTTGTGCATGTGAGGCAAGCACTCTACCAACTGAGCTATATCCCCAGCCCTTACATTGTTATTTTTAAATTATATGATTACATGTTGCATGTTGTATTTAAGTTTCACAGGTGTTCCACATCTGGGATGATGGGACCAAAATTGGTTTAAAAAAAAAAAAAACCCTGTAGGTGATTCTGATAACCTCTAAAGTCTGAGTGACACTGCTTTCCTAGCCACTCTGAGGCCCTGTGAATGAGCAGATTCCCAGCATCTTTGAGCTTTTTTTTTAAAATGAGTAAAATAGGAAGTCTTTGACCAAAAACTTGTTTTTTAATTTTTTTAGTTTTCATTTTACAAATCTTTTTTTCTAGAATGCCAGTTCCTGGGGAGGAGGGGCCACATGTTTTGCTTCACATAGTCCATATTGCTTTGCATTTAAATGAAAGGATTTAGTACAATACCTTCTAATTGGTCTTCCTAATTTTAGATGGTTTCATGTAAGGCACGTTCCAGTGTCTAATCTCATGGTACTTCATGGGCTAATGTAGTAAAGTGCCTGGTCACCTCAAAGGTGAGTCATCTTGCTTAGATATGCAGCAGGTATTCATGTGGAGTTGGAGGGTGAAGTTAGGAGGATTATTATTATACTGCCTCCATCCCTCTTTTTTTTTTAATTTTTACTTTTATTTTTTAGTTGTTAATAGACCTTTATTTTATTTATTTATATGTGGTGATTAGAGTTGAACCCACTGCCTCACACATGCCAGGCAAGTGCACTACCTCTGAGCCCCAACCCCTCCTTCCCTCCTTTTTATTATGATACAGGTCATATGTAATGGGCTGCTCTCCCCTCTCCCTTCAGAATGGGTATCTTGGCCGGCCTTCTATGAGCTTTCGTTGAGCATTAGATTTACCTGCGTACTCAGTATGGTCTGGTAATGCTCCTCTGTAGTTTCAGCCCAGACCCTCCTCCTGAGCATAATTTCAAAATTCTAGTGTTTTGTTAAACCAAAACTCTTGAGGCTAGGGAATTCCTGAAATAAAAAGACTTCAGTTTTGAGGAGGGTAAAAGCCCTGCACCCTGCATGTATGCACCCCTGAGAGAGCTTTGGGATAGGAAGGTAGCCCATAAGGAGAACTCGTTGCTTTTGGTTGGGGTTCACAGTCCAGAAATTGTATTTGTAAACAGGGGATGGTGGCCCTGAGGGTTTGCTGTGATGGGATTTTAAGTCAGTTTTTCAAGGCTTCTCCCCAGGAGCTGGTATTCTAGAGAAAAGATTTATAAAATGAAAGCTGCTATAAGAAAGCCAAACTCTTGACCAAGGATTTTCTAGTTTACTTAACAATAAAATAAGGCTTCTGGTGTTTTGTTTGCAGCTAACTGTAGTTAACTGATTAGTTCTCTTATCTCTTTACCCTTTGACCTTTGGAAGGTAAGATATCTTAGAATTTTTCTTTGATCAGAGTGTACTGCTATTTTTGATATAATACAAATAATTTGCAATTTGTGTATTGGGGGGGTGCTGAGGATTGAACCCAGGCCCTTGTGCATGCAAGGCAAGCACTCTACCAACTGAGCTATACATCCCCAGCCTGCAAAGTTTTCAAAACTGAATTCACTCTTTTTTGGGGGATACCAGGGATTGAACTCAGGGGCACTTGACCACTGAGCTACATCCCCACCCATATTTTGTATTTTATTTAGAGACAGGGTCTCACTGAGTTACTTAGTGCCTCACTTTTGCTGAGGCTTGGCTTTGATCCTCCAGCCTCTGCCTCCCGAGCCGTTGGGATTACAGGCGTGTACCATCACACCTGGCGAATTCACTTCTGATCTAAACTCATTTTCTGAGGCTTCAGGAACATGCACATGTAAGCCTTTAGCTTGGAGCTGTAAGCCTTTAGCTTGGAGCTCTCCAGAGGTTCAGATTCTGGAACCCTTCCACTTGACATGCACATGGATGTCCACAGTTGATCTTTTTAGGCCTTCCCCAGACCTGCCGCACCCACCGTCTTGCCATTTCAGTAGACAGGCACCTGCCCTTTACCAATTGCTCAGATCAAAGGTCTTGATCATACTTGACCCCTGTCTTTCAGACCCTACTTTCAATTCCAAGGCAGGTCTCTTCAAAATGAATTTGACACATCTCCCCACCTCCCTGCTGCCACCATAGTGTGAGCCTCAGAGCCTGCTAATGGGTCTCCCTGTTTCTGCCCCTGCCCTTTTGCAATCTGCTCAAATCCATCCAGTGGTCTTTGAACACCACCGTCCTTGGGGGGCTAAGGAGGTTTGGCATGATCTCTGCACCTCTCCCTTAGCTCCTCTGTCCCTCGGCACCTGAGCTGTCACCCCCCACACACACACCCTGTGCTTCCTCTCAGGCTTGCTCCATCCTCAGAGGGTCCTTCTCTTGAGTCCACCTGGCTTGTTCCTCACGGCTTTACTTTATTGTCCATCTGCTCGATTGGTTGTCAGCTGCATGAGCAGAGCTCCATAGTCCCTGTCTTCCTGGCACCAGCAGTACCTGATACATGACTGCCACTCAGGCACTTAGCAGTGAGTGGGCTGGTTGGCTGCTTTGTATTTACCTGCGCTTTGTTCAGGAACCCAGCCGTTTATTCCTGCCCTGACTGGTTGTGGCATGGGGTGTTTGGTTTGCTATACCATGTGTCTCACAACTTCTACTTTCCACGCATTACTGGGAACACTAAATGGTTTCTTAGCTAGGCTGATATGTACATGTTTGAAATTCTGGGGTTATTGTTCCATTGTCTAATTGGAGAGGTTTGAAGTCTGATTCCCCCCACCCTTTTTGCATATTTTCTTGATTTGGCTGGTGGTGATTAGTCCTGGACATGATGGCACATGGAATGACAGTCAACTACAAGAAATGGCTCAGCTGAGGATAAAACACCAGGAAGAACTGACTGAATTGCACAAGAAACGTGGGGAGGTAAAGACAACTCCTCTCCCATTCTGTCTTCTCTTTCAAGGGTCCTGTGCGGGAGATGGGAGATCAGCCACTTCCCTGGGAATTAGCAGCAGTCTAACTAAATTAGGCATTAAAAGCTCTCTTTGTGGGATTGAAAGAGTGGGGAAACACGAGGAAATGCAAGGTCCTTCGTGGAGAGGTGAGCCATGGTCAAACCACCCAGTTACAGTGCTTCAACAATGGTGTGAGAGACACAAGTGAGGAAGCTTTTGAGAACAAAAAGGGGCTTAGAGTTTGATTCACTAAAGATCTTTCTAATACTTATGAAACTTTTTGAGTGTGAACTCCAAAATTTCAGTTATTAGAAGGAGTCCTAGTTGTGTTTACCCTGAATGGTCATCAATGCAAAGCTCCAAATGAGAGAAGACAGTTAACTAGCAGTTCAGCCAAGTTGATGTGAGATCTGGGGGTAGACAGGTATTCTCAGCAAGAACCTGGTAGTCACCTAGAACACTTCATCCACATTTCCCTTTGCAAGGGAACAGCGGACAGTTCCTAGGCACATTACGCATACCCCCTCTGCCATTTACTACCTTTCTTGATACCTTTGCCCAACCCCTCAAACACACACCTTTCTTTATTAAAAACTAAGTGGATTGTCACCCACTATTGGTTTTCAAGTGAGATTCTTTTTTTGAGTGACTTAGGAGAGTGTTCTCTGTCTCCCAGTTAGCTCAGTTGGTGATTGACCTGAACAACCAAATGCAGCAGAAGGACAGGGAGATGCAGATGAATGAAGCAAAGTGAGTAGAAACCTTTCCTCCTTAGGGTTTGGTGATTGGTTCACATGTTGTGTTTTGCTGTACCCTTTGAATAGGGCCTGTAACCAGTGGTAGCCGCGCTGCAGCCAGCAAGTGTCTTATTCCAGTCAATGCAATCTGGGCCCTTTTTCTGTTCCAAGGAAAGGCAAGCTCAATTCCCTTAGGCCCCTAGGGTCCCAACATTCTCTAGGGAAATAACTGGCCCTTGCAAGGGTTCCAGAGCATTTGTAATCCCCTCATGGTGGCCTTGTGTGGATGTTGGTGTCTTCCTGTGGTGGAGCTGAGGCTATACTGAGAGCTTGGGACTCATGGGTGGTGTGTAAGTGAGCAGGATCATTTTTGATCAGAAACAAGAAAACGGGGATTTGGAGTCTTAGCACCATAGAGCTGCAGAGCCTCACAAAAATACCTTGCGAGCACCTAAAGTTTCCCTTCCTTCAAATCCTGCTTTTCTCAAAACTCTTGTTACTAGTCATTTGTGGGCAGGCGGAACCTTGCACTGGGTGTTTCCTAATAGGATTGTCCTGCACACCGTTGGTCCAGGTCTGGTGTGTGGCTCATGTTATGCTACTGGGCTAAGTTCACATAGTTGGCTTGCCCCCGTCCTCTGGCTGTAATGCAGGACTCTGGCCAAGGACACTTCCTCTTCTGACGGCATGCTTTCAGAATTGCAGAATGTTTGCAGACTATCTCTGACTTGGAGACAGAGTGCTTGGACCTACGCAGCAAGCTTCAAGACCTTGAGGTAGCCAACCAGACCCTGAAGGACGAATACGATGCCCTGCAGATCACTTTTACTGCGTTGGAGGAGAAACTGAGGAAAACTACTGAAGAAAACCAGGAGCTGGTCACCAGATGGATGGCCGAGAAAGCCCAGGAAGCCAACCGCCTCAATGCAGAGAACGAAAAGGACTCCAGGTGGGCATAGTCAGTGGTCTCCTTTTTCAGCAAAGCAGAAGCTAGTTCTTTAAAAAGAAAACAACATACAGGTTGGGGGTGAGAGTGTACCTGGCCTGTGCAGAACAGAAAACACTAACAGAATCACCAATAGTGATAGTGAGAATAAAAGAAATTTGCGTTTATAAGGATACTTGATATTGAGCCATGGAATACCTCCCAGAAGGGCAGGGCAGAGGCCTTCTGACCAACAGCAAGGAAGCACTCCCATCCTGTACACTAGGAATTTGCATCTGTGTGGTAGAAATGAAGCTTTTTAGAAACCTGACCCCATCCCCAATCTATGACATCCATGCTCAATGTCCACTGCCTTACATATGCTCCTATTCAAACGAGCAATATGGCTCTTAGAGCAGTTTTATCCAGATGTGTTCTGACCAACCAATTCAAAAGTTTTTGGCACCAAACCCATGATACAACATGGGAAAGCTGGGAGAAGGGTATGATTCATCTAGAAAAGCAAAGAAAACTAGCTGATGCACTATTCACAGAAGCCCAGCAGAATTGAACCCTTTTCTAAAATCCCCATACCAGTAGTTCAGTACTTCATTTAGAAGACAGATTATAGGAAAAATCCTAAGGAGTAACTGAGCTTATGCCCTACCACATAATAAATCCACTTAGATGGGAAAGGCAGTGTAAAATCAAAGCCTTGGTCAAGTTAGAAAATTTGAGGGACCGTCTGTTTATTTTATGAAGTGTTCCTAAAAAGGAGTCTTGGAGGACTTTCCAAACATAAAAGTAATGATATTAAAGGGTGGCAGTTCAAATTTTTTTAGGTTTCTCAACATCACAGAACTAAAACAATGAACCAGGAAATGCTCTCTTAAATATCCATAATAGAGTCAATAAGGAAAGATGAGCACAAAGCATAGGTGGTTCATAAGAGCAGACTTGGTTGTGGTGAGTAAATACCACAGAAAGGGGTGCTAGGGGGCAGGAGTACTGATAGTGTGGGGCTGCTGACTGCTTGAGGGCTGTTTGGAATAAGGAGGATCCTACCATTCTGGACTTGAGAGCCCCCTCTTGTTGGACTTTGTCCTAAGGAAGTAAGGGGACTTTTTGACAAACATTCATGATGGCATATTTTTCGTCAGTAGTAAAAAAAAAAAGATAGTGCATACCTTGGGGAACAGTTAAACTGTGATATGTTCATGCAATGGAATTTTATAAAGCCATTTAAGATTATTTTTTTAAAAATATTTTATTTTTTAATTGTAGTGGGACACAATACGTTTATTTATTTATTTATTTTTAATATGGTGCTGAGGATCAAACCCAGGGCCTCGCACAAGCTAGGTGGTGCTCTGCCGCTGAGCCACAACCCCAGCACTAAGATGATGTATTTTAAGAATACTTGATACTGGGGCTGGGGATGTGGCTCAAGCGGTGGCGCGTTCACCTGGCATGCGTGTGGCCCAGGTTCGATCCTCAGCACCACATAAAAACAAAGATGTTGTGTCCACCGAAAACTAAAAAATAAATATTAAAAAATTCTCTCTCTCTCAAAAAAAAAAAAAGAATACTTGATACTGAGGCTGGGGTTGTGGCTCAGTGGTAGAGCACTTACCTAGCATGTGTGAGGCACTGGGTTCAATTCTCAACACTGCTTATAAATAAATGAATAAAATAAAGGTCCACCAACAAAGAATACTTGATACCTAAAATACAGTGATATAACTGGAAATATGAAATATGTTGAGTGAAACGAACTATATTCATAACACCCCAGTTTTGTATGAAAGACTGGAGGGAATTATACTATTAATGATGTTTGGTTTTGGGGGTAAGATGTTTTGTTTTCTCATTTTATACTTCTATTTTTTCTAACTTGCTGAAGTTTCTACTGTGAAAAAATGAGTTTCTTCTATCATTTCTACCTCACATTAACTGTAAGATAGTTGGGCTTATGGCATGGTGTTCTCAGGCGGTGTGAGGGTTGTGAGGGTCGCAGGGTTGACAGGATGCTGCCAGGTGCCATGATCATCATCACTGAAGAGCCATTGGAAGGAGAAGCCTCTGAGCGTCACAGGGAAAATGATGCTAACCTAACAAGACCGTTATATATCTGCCCCTGTCCTTTCTTCCTCCCTTTGAAATGACTTCCAAGGATTGTGCCCTTGGACTATTGAAGGTGTGGGGCACCTGCAATAGTCAGAATCCCTGGAAGCCTACCCTCTGTGTTGCCTGCTTTCTGCTAAATCCCTCTGTCCTTGTCCCTACTTCTAGCAGCTTTTGTTGAGCTGGGCTGTGATGGAGCACACCAGAGAGCTTTTCATGTTCTGCCTTCTGCAAAAGACCATGTCCCCACAATTGGGCTCAATAGCTGCTATTGCTTTAAGATGCACTCGAGGGCTATCTGAACTATCAGGGAAATACCTGTCCTATCAGCTCCACTGATGAAGGCCTGGCTCAGGTGCTGTTCTCTTTTTTTCCTTATCAGTTTTTCACCCCTTGCCAGAATGGGGACATGAAGGTAGAGAAAGGAGTAGGTTTCAGATGGTCTATCAACAAGTGCCATAACTTGGAGCAGCATAACTCCCTCCACATTCAGGTTCTGGTTTTCTATCAAAGGTAGTTTGAGGCTCTCACAGCTAAGAAAGTTTTTGTAAATTGTATATTTTATAATTTTTCCTTTGAGACTTAATTTTCATCCTAATGGAAGAAGCTTTTTCAAGCTATACCTTCATCTCGTCCCAGGATTTTGGTAGGCCACTTAACAGGACTTTTCCCAGTTGGAGAAATTGGCACTGTGGGAGAGGCCGAATAGAAGTTCTAGCGAGTTATTGATTGGAGCTCAAAAGCAGGGCTGGAGTTCCAGGTTGGGGGCATTCACAGATGAGTAAAATTGCCAAGGAAGGGAGAACAAGGTTGCCAAGGTGAGCTCCTGAAGTTAGGATACTAACTGAAGTTAAGGAGGGGTGGATGAGGCTCTTTTACATTCCCAGTTAGCTGTGGATCCCAGTTAGCCATGGTTAGCTTTTGTCAGTTAAAAGTTATGTACACTTTGACAGTTGAATTTCATTAGACCTCACTTGCTTTATCTGTACAGGGGAAGTAACAGTGCAGTTAGCCCTCAGAATCAACAGGCTCAACATCTGTGGACTGCTTAGGGAAAAAATGTGGGTTTGTACTGAGCATATAAAGACCCTCTATTCCTGTCTCTATCCTAACCCATAGAGTGTACCAATTATTTTCATAGCATTTATATTGTAGTAGGTATTATAAATCATCTAGAGATGATTTATAGTATATGGGACGATGTGCCTAAGTTCTCTGCACATACTGTACTATTTGGCATAAGAGACTTGAGCATCTCTGGATTGTTGTATCTGTGTGTGGGGGGGGGTTGTCCTAGAACCAATCCCACACAGATACTAGGGGACAACTCTACTTACCTCAAAGGGTATTAGAAGAATTTAATTAATTGATCCATAAGATGATTAAACCATGCCAAGTACAAGTAAGTCCTAAGTCAATCTTTACTATTCTTGATCATGCTGTGGGTGTCTTAATATAGTACTTTCTAAGACGGCTGCAAAAAGCTGTTGTGGCCCTGATTAGCCTTCAATAAACCTGAAGTGCCTTCTGTCCTAAGAGGCCCTGGCCCCAGCAGGTGACCTCCTTCCTTGCTAGTTCACCTACTTCCTCTTATAACATGATCTCTCCTCTAGGCATTCCTCTGAAACCCTTTATAATGGGGAGTGTGTTGAGTTTGAGACTTTGAGTGTCTTGGCCAGGGTAGCTGCTATTTTGTATGCACTGAATGTTCAAATGTGCTATGGAAACTAGCAATTTATTGCAAGTGAAGCCTCCATGTTTTCCTTACACAAACATAAATGATGAGCTTTTTTTTATTTTTATAAATAGGAGACGGCAAGCCCGGCTGCAGAAAGAGCTTGCTGAAGCAGCAAAGGAACCACTGCCAGTTGAACAGTAAGTAAAGACCAATCTAAACTGTGTTCTTAACCATTTGTCTCTTAAAATTGTTGTTTTATTCCTATATAGTCACTTTAAAGATATTAGAAAAGAAAATTGAAGCCTGGCATGGTGGCACACACCTGTAATCCCAGCAGCTAGAGAGGCTGAGGGAGAAGGATCACAAATCCTTTTTTGAGGCTGGCTTTGAATTCATGATCCCCCTGCCTCAGCCTCCCAAGCCATTGGTATTACAGGCGTGTGCTACCACCCCTTGCAAGGATTGTAAGTTCAAAGTCAGCCTCAGCAATTTAGCAAGACCCTGCCTCAAAATAAAATATAAAAAGGCCCGGGGATGTGGCTCAATGGTTAAGCACTGCTGGGTTCAATCCCCAGTTGGGGGGTGGCGGGGGACAAAAGGCAAAAAGTCAAAACATAATTCTGCCACCCAGAAAGTAACACCCACTCGACCATTTTAATTTTATTTTGGTGGTTTCTGATTCCTCAATTAAAAATGAGGTACTGAGTAATATGACCATGTTTCTGATTCTTTATTTGGGATAGATTCTTGAAAATTTGTAGAGTCAAAACTGTTTTAGAAAATATGACTTTCCAAAAAGTTGTTTCTGTTTACACTCCTCAGCTGGGTGTGGATCCAGCTTTCTATGTCTGGGAGGCCTCATCATGTGTCTGTCTGCTGTTTTCAAGTGTAGCCTAGTGACTAGGTGAGGCATGATTTAGAGGGCTACAGTATCCTACCCCGGGTCACCCAGGAAGGACCTGCACAGGGTGCAAACCTGAGAACTTTGGCTAGAGGTTCTTTTCATCTTTGCTTCCTTAAGAGTCAAACCCTCTTTTTAAAGGCTAGTTGGCAAGTCCTAGTATTTTCTCATGGTCCTGGGCCTGTGCAAAGATCCAGGAAATTTAGGAACCCAAGATTCTCTTTGAAACTGCATCATTGTAGGCTCAGTTCATGTTTGGCCCTCTTGCCCTCTGTATAATTCTGTTGTCCTCTTAGCCTAGGTGACTCTCACAAATCTACATCTGTGAAAGCAAGCCAAGAAGGAAATCAGGCACAGCCTTGTTCTCATTATTCTTCTCTACGTCCTGGCCAAGAATGTGGAGCAATTATACATAATGCTAGAATAAATAAAAGAAGACAAATTTACTTTGACATGGTTTAACTTGCTTGGTAACAAGTTCTTAAGTATATATTCATATAATCCAGATAATTAATCAAAGAAAAGGAAAAATCTTGCTTTCAAGTTCTTGAGTCCCAATAGTAAGTGATGAAATCTTGGCCTGTTACTTTATTATTTTACTTCTCCATGAAGATTGTGGCACAGTAGGAGGTCATTAAAACCAAAATAATTATTGCCTTCCCCCAGTCAGGAAAGACATGGCCTCTAAAAATATGGAAGAAGGGGAATTCCAGAGGTGCTTTGCATCCAGTGGAATAAACAGCAAAAGCAGCGTGTTCCTTTAACAGGTGCTCTCCCTTGGAATGTGTTGGATTCCCCAAATGTCAGAAACACTGAGAGCTTAAACAAAGCCTGTGTTATCCAGAGTCAAATATGAATGGTGTTTAGAGTTTGCTCTTGAAAACTATTCTCAGTTGGCATTTTGGATCTGTTTTAACAGGTTTTTTGTTTGTTTTGGTGCTGGGGATTGAACCCAGGGCCTCACATGTGCTAGGCAGGCACTCTACCAGTAAGCTACATCTCCAGCCCCAGTGTTCTGGATCTGAACAGGTTAAATGTTTGTTTTCACATTTATCTGTAGTGGGAGAGCTTCCCTTTTCTCTAGAGAACCTTTTACCATATCTCTTATAGCCAAGTGTCATAGGTTGTGATTAGAAATGTAATGGCCTTTGCAAAACTGATTCTCTACAAAGCCCCTGATTATCAGAATAAACCTCTTGCTCTTCGTTCCAGGGATGATGACATTGAAGTCATTGTGGATGAGACCTCAGAGCACACAGAGGAGACCTCGCCTGTGCGAGCTATCAGCAGAGCAGCCACGTGAGTAGATGGGTGAACAGGGGACAAGTGGAAGTTTGATAGCATATTTATGGGCATAGCGAGAACATAAATATGCCCACACCTCCAACCCTCTTGGTGGAATAGCTAGCATCTTATATACCACCATGGAGAACACCAGTTTGTCTGGTTCACCTCCACCTAATGGGAATGGGAGGGAAGCAGAACACAGGTGGGTGTCTTCCTAAAAGATTGCCAGTTAAACCTTATTAAGCAGAATGACCAGATCTCGGGGCTCAAGGATTTTTTTTTTTTTTTCCTGTTTGCTAAAGCAAGACTAAAAGAGTGGGGATTGGTTATTAACACTCTGAAATTGTTAGGTCAGTTAGATTAAATTCCTTGTCTAAGGTTTTGTTTCCAGGCAAATTAGTTCAATATTAGGGAACCTTGTTTCTTTTCAAACTGCTAGGCTGGGTTTTCCCTTCTACCTTCCCATTATTTCCTGGTGGTTCAAATACTGTGAGTTTTTCTTGGCTGAATTTTGGGTACTAAGTGGGAAAAATACTCCTAGGTACTTGTTTTATGGGCTGTTTTAATTGATAATTTGGGCGAAATGTTTCTAAGGTTTAAACCTATCCTCCCCTCCTCTTTAGTAAGCGACTCTCGCAGCCTGCTGGAGGCCTTCTGGATTCTATCACTAATATCTTTGGGTAGGTTAGAAGACCTTCACCTTTCCTTTTTTAAATGTGTGTAAATATACTTAAGCATATGTACATGATTTATTATTTTTTAATTGTACACCAGAATTTCAGTGGTGCAGCAAATACAGATACCTTAATTTTGGCCATTCATGTAGCTTCCTCCTTTTTTCCCCAACTTCTTTCTCTTAATCTCGCTTTGTGCTGATCTCTGGCCTTTCCCTTTAGTCTGTCCGAGTCTCCCCTTTTGGGGCACCATTCTTCTTCTGATGCTGCCAGGTGAAAGTATTACCCTCTTAGCCAAGCATGTGAGTGTGGGTCATTGATAGTCACGCTGATCACGCTGCACTGCCCGCAGTCATCAGATGTCCACGTGCTAACCTGAGTGCTTTGCATGCTCCCAGGAATGAATGCTGGAAGCCCCCCAATCTGGGCAGTAAAGTGGAGCTCCTTGTATAGTCATCATGCTCTTGGCCTCTTTCTTTTGGCATGCATTCGACTCCACCTTGACCACAGTGTATGCTGGGGGTGATTGTAACTAGGCATAGAAATCATCTTAAAATAGTGTTACAGAAACACCAAAGAGCTACCTCTGAGCTAGCTGTTAATTTAGTTGGAAAAAGTTCCTAGCAGTTAGCAAGGTAAGTGATCTTACAGGGCAGCTTTTTAGTGCTGTTTGGGAGCCCATGAGTTAGAATGCAGGAGAGTGAGGAATGCGTTGACACACTCCTGTTGCCCTCTGCATGAGGGTGCTTCTTATGGTTTGAAGGGTCTGGAAGGAAAAAGCTATTGACAAAGATAGCCTGCTTAAGCAAGATCATCTTTAAGGCCTTTCTGACGGCTTGAAGAGTAGTGATCCTGTGCAGTCTTGTCTAATATTTACCTTTGTGTTATTCTTTAGGAGACGCTCTGTCTCTTCCTTTCCAGTCCCCCAGGATAATGTGGATACTCATCCTGCTTCTGGTAAAGATGTGAGGGTACCAACTACTGCCTTATGTGTCTTTGTAAGTATGCGCTCCACCAAGCTTGGTATGGTAACAGGGCCTGATCACTAAAGGGTTATTTTCATAGTTCAACTGAGCTTTCTGTCATTCACTTTTATCAAGCTCTTATACCTGCTTGCTCTGTCCTCTGTGAGGGATTAGTATATTTTGCTTAGCTTTAGAGCACAGAATTTACTACAGCCCTTCTGGGTAATGTTACACTGGCTGTAAGAGAGGATTTGGTAGCAGGAGGGATGGGGTAAGGGAAAACTAATTAGGGATGGTGAGAAATTAAAGTAATTCATGTAATTGTAGTCACCAGATAGCTGCAATTTAGGGTGAGATTCTAGCTAGTGGTCTGTTTTGGAAGTCTAACAGGGAAGCTCTTGGTTTCATAAATTAAACCCTTGTTTGAATGACTTCCTACCACTAAGAGCTTATGATTGGAAGCAGAACACAGCCCTGGGCAGAAGCCACTGTGACACCAGGACTGTCATCTGGAGTTCAGAGCTGGGTCCTGGTACTAATAGATAATCCTTATCCCAGCTAGTGTAAATGAACCAACCTGGCAAATGTCAGGTATCTGCTGGGCCTGTGAGAGCACTGGAGAGGGAAAGAAGGGGCAGCATGAAAGCAGAGCCAGAGTTGGGTTGACACTGGTGTGGGCCAGGTATGGCCAAAAGAGGTTGCTTTCTGAAGAGGGAAGGATTTACTAGAAATATGGAATGGCATTTAGGTTGTGGGAGCTTTTAGTTCAGGCACCCAGAGGAACTTCCTTAGGTAATTCCTCACAGTGGGCTGCCTAGTGACTTCATTGTCAACTAGCCTGTATTGGAGGAGGAGTTAGATTGGGGAAGGGCTTCTTCCCATTCTGATCTCGCTCCTATGATTCCCCAACAGGCCTGAGCACTTCACAGAGGTCAATGATGATTGGTAAAAGGTCTGATTGCACTGAATGTCACAGTCCCTTCCTTGCCCTCAACTCCCAGCAGCCCATTTTCCCCCCCAGCACATTAAGTCATGTGTGTGGGATGGTGGAGCAGCTGACAATCAGGGATTTTGTCAGTGTGTGTTTTGGAGAGTGAAATATTCACAGCTGACTAGTATCCAACAGAACACATTCCTCAGGAGCTTGATGAGTGGCAGGCAGGGTGTGACAGTGCATGATCTCAAGTTTTCAATCTGAGACCTCGGGAAAAGAAAATTTATTTTGAAAAAGGAAATGTCAAGTTCCCTGTCATGAAGATTTTCAGCAGTGGGATATGAGGGAAAGTGGGAAACCAAATCATCAAAGTGCTGCTCAATTCCGAGTCAATTAATGGAGATGCCAGTAGCAGTAGCTCACTACCCACACTTTGCTGGGCTTGAAGCAAATCACAAATGACATACTTCACCCAGAAAAAATTTCTGTATTCACTGTCCTATTAAGAGAGTGAATTATAGTGATGCCTATTATTCCCTCTGCCCCTTTTGGGGTGGGATGCTTTATTGCCTGGATTGCGTTCTTATCCTGAACCATGTGTGCCATCTTTTGAGCTTATATTTCTCTGTTTATGCCAGTCTCACATTTCCCAAAGGAACTTTTTTGCAGATGAACAAAAGGAGGTTTCAAAAAGTTAAGAAAGCTTGGCAGAGATCATACTGGTGATAAGGCTAGATTTGTTTTGTTTCAGAAGAAATTACATAGAAATCTGCCAGGCTTGGTAGTGCATGCCTATAATCCTAGCAGCTAAGGAGAATGAGGTAGGAGGATCGTGAGTTCAAGACCAACCTCAGCAACCTAGGGAGGCCCTAAGCAACTTAGTGAGACCCTGTCTCTAAATAAAATACCAAAAAGGACTGGGGATATGGCTCAGTGATTGAGTGCATCAAAGTTCAATCCTTAGTGTCTTGTCCCCACTCAAAAAAAAAAAAATAATAATAACTACTAAATAGAATCCCCATTGTAACATTAATGTACATCTAGGAATAGGACCAGTGTCTGCTTAGAGTAGGACTTATCAGGAAAGCTTTCTTAGCCAAGTGCAGTAATGCAGACCTATAATCCAAGCTGCTGAGGAGGCTGAGGCAGAATGATCACAAGTTCAAGGCCAGCCTTGGTGACATAGTGAGACCCTGTCTCAAAATAAAATTTGGCTGAGGGTTCGGTGGTAGAGTCATAGCCCAGTTGTAGAACACTTGGCTAGCATGCATGGGGCCCTGGGTTCAAGCCTTACTACCAAAAAATAATAATAAAAAGAAAGCTTTATTTATTATGAGAGGCAATATACTACACATTATTCAGATACATAGTGTTTAGCATTAGTAAATTAGTAATAGGAGTAGATGTAATATCTGGCCCAAAAGAACCATTTGGTTCTAAGCTTGCTTTTAAGCTAATAGGGTATATACAATTCAAAGTGCCATTATTCTTAGAAGAAATAAGATTAATGCAAAGACCAACTTAAGGCAAATTATCTACTAATTTTGCTTTTTTAAGGTTGTAGTGCAACTAAATAAATGAAGCTGTAACTCTTAAGAATAAAATGCTACTAGCACCTTAGAAGACCTTGGGCCAGCAGTCCACTTTAGATTATGGTTGGCTCCCCCTCTGTTTAAGGATGTGTTTTGCCTCGAGTTAGGTGTTGAGTGTGTATGTGTGTTTTGGATTCGGGAATAATACTGATGGAACTTGAAATATGGTGTTGTAGGATGCACATGATGGAGAAGTTAATGCTGTACAATTCAGTCCAGGTTCCCGGTTACTGGCCACAGGAGGCATGGACCGCAGGGTTAAGTTATGGGAAGCATTTGGAGGTAAGAGCTATTGGTGGAATGTGGTTGCCCTTGCTCTCAGGCACTCTGAGTTGTTTATCATCTTAAAGCATACAACTTTTTTTTATGTAAGAATCATCTGACCAAAGCATTTTTACCATTTCAATTTCTCTTTATATCTGAATGCATGTTTGTTCTTATTTCTCAAGCAATGACTAGAAAATACTGTTATTATGAATGTTTATCTCATACAGTAATCAGAACATCAGAACAAAATAGTACCAGTTTTAGAAGGAAAATAAATCTTTATAATTAAACTGTACATCAAGCTGTGGTTTATACGTTTGTTTCCTCCTCCCTCCTCCTCCCCTCCTCCCCCCCTCCTCCCCCCTCCTCCCCCCTCCTCCTCCCTCCTCCTCCTCTTTCTCCTTCTCTTTCTCCCCGCCCCCAATCATAATGCCAATGACCATGACCTAGATAAAAAGAAGCCATATCTAAGCTTGAGTAAAGGAAAAAGAGGATTATTACCTGGAAAAGATGTGTTGAGCCAAGTGGTATTCATGAAAACATCTTTTAGAATTCTGAAGGTGGATGTAGTCCAGTTTTGACATTTTTGAGATTCAGTTTCATGTACGTATATTTTCACTGAACTAAATGTAAGTAATAAGATTTTTATTGGAACTGGAACCACTTTGTCAGGTTTCTATAGTTGTAGCACATACATTTTCACTGTCCCCAATAAATAGCTCCGAAGTGCCTTTGTCTGTATTAATTCCTGTGATCCTTAACAATAGCCTCATGTGGTTAGAAAGGTAGTTCTTACCCTTTTTTGACAGATGAAGACAGTAAAACTCAAAGAGATGCAACATAATTTGTGTATTTGATATACACAGTTAACAAATTACGTGGCAAGTGAGTAGTGGAGCCAGAACTAATCAGAATCATATAACTTGAAATCACTTCTCCCCAGCCTCCCCACCCACTCCCCAACTGGAGATCGAAGCCAGGGGTGTTTTACTGCTGGCTTACATGCCCCCAACACTTTTTGAAACAGGGTCTCACCAAGTTGCTAAAGCTGGCCTCAAACTTAACACTAGTCTTTTCTGTGCTATAGAGGATTACCACTTTTGATGTTTGTTTAAATAGATTTTAGTTTAAATAGATTTATTTAAATAGTTTAGTTAAAATAGATTTATTGGTGAGCACTGTACCTGTCTCGCCTTTGATTTGCCAGAAAGTGACTCCGTTTAAAAAACAAAAACAAAACAAAAAACCTTGGCTGTGACAGCCTGTTGAAGCCCATGGAAATTTTTGTTTTGCCCAGAAACACCCTGGTAGAGTGGGTGCTAATGGCCAAAATTGTTATAAATAATAATGAAGCCCTATTATAAGAAAATAAATATTAGGGGATTTGATTTATAAAATTTTAAGCAGAGCTGGGGGAGTGGCTCAGTGGTAGAGTCTTGCCCATGGCCCGCACAGGTGGTGGAAATGGGGTTCCCCTCCATGAAATGAGCTGGATGAGAAATAAAGCTAGAACAACAAAGAAACCCATCTTTGGAGCTACTATGAGGGATCTTCTTGGCAGAGCAGAGATAAAGGTCATATGCATTGGGCGGGCGATGTGTTGTTGTGGGAGAGCCACAGATAGTTTGCAGTGCTAACCCTAAATTTCCTGGCTTCCATACTGAGAGAAGATCCTCATGTAATTCATGGATGGCTTTCTGCAGTAGAGCATTTGCCTAGTGTGCCTCAAGTCCAGGTTTGATCCCCAGCACCACAAAAATAAAGTTGAACAACTAGTCTATTTTGATTATGCTTTTGCAGTTAATTAAGAGTAGTATGAGACATTTTGTTTCACTGCCCAGTCAGTAAAAAACACTTCTGAGAAGATTAGAGGGGTGCAGGCAGGGCTGCAGGAAAAGTGCCATCAGCCCTGTTGGGCAAGGCAGGAATCATTGGCTCTTGGTTGGCTTGCCAGTATCCCAGTATATGCAAAGCAACTTTAAGGACAAATTCCTAAAGCTCCAAACTGAGCCTTTTTGGCTTTCTACCAAAATTTGAAAAATTTTTTTTCAGACCTTAATGAAAATTATCACACCATAGATTCAGAATTTTGGTGATCAGAATTTCTACAAAATTAGTTGGCATGAGTACCGATGAAACCCAAAGATTAATGTATGTGAATTATAAAATTTTACTGAGAAGTAATGGACCTAGGGGCTGGGGATGTGGCTCAAGCGGTAGCGCGCTCCCCTGGCATGGGTGCAGCCCGGGTTTGATCCTCAGCGCCACATAAAAACAAAGATGTTGTGTCTGCCGAAAACTAAAATGTAAATAAAATATTTTAAAAAAAGAAGTAATGGACCTATATAAATTCAGTCTCTAGTTTAATTTGACATTTTATAAAATACAGTTCTTTGTAAAGGGGATTAATAATTCAAAATGTCTTAGAATATTTAATAATATGCTAGAATCTGCACCCATTTAAATGTTCATTGTTGTTAGAGACTAACAATATATTTTGTCTCTTACATTCTATTTGTCCTGTTGTTTTATTCTGTAAGGGTGCAGGAAAGTTTCTATTTGACAATGTAAATTGACTATCATTGTGTTTCAGTGCCCCATCAAACTCATTATCAACTTCCTGTCTTTTCTAAATCTTATCTTTTTATACAGACAAATGTGAGTTCAAGGGCTCCCTGTCTGGTAGTAATGCTGGAATTACAAGCATTGAATTTGATAGTGCTGTAAGTATCTAGTTTCTGTGATTTTGGAGATTTCGGAAAAGTTAGACATCTAATTATTAAGAAGTAACTGGTTTCTCTGCCATTCTTCACATCTTAAGTCAAATCCATGTTAGAGAAAGGTAGAAGTAGATTATAGAGCTAACTGGTCTATCAACTCTGATATTATAATTCTGTTACTTGGTACCTCCTGCCTTTGGTACTGGGGATTGAGTCTGGAGTGCTGCTCCACCAAGCTACATATCCCCAGCCACTTTTTCATTTTTTGTTTTGAGACAGCGTCTTACTAAATTGCCCAAGCTGGTCTTGAACTTGGGGATACAGGCGTGTGCCATTGTACTTAGCCTACTCAGTATTTTTAATTCTATTTTATTGTTATATTTTGTGTGTTTAGATCCTGTGCTATAGGGGCACCATGTGGTCCTACCCTTCAGTAAATTGCCATTTAAATGAGAGTGGTTTAAAAGCATTAAACTGCAAGTCATTGTACTAAAGTAATGTGTAAAATAGGAATGAACTGCTCACTCATCAGCATTTCAGAGTGGGGATTAGGAAACAAAATAAGCCAACTTGGCACAACTCCAGATAATCAAAGGTTAGATGCAAAAAGCCCAGTGCTGAAATTGCAGGGAGAGGAAGCAAAGAGAAGATTAGAGGTAGGACCAGTGTGCAGTAGCCAGGTGAGGTGACAGTGTCTGCTCAAGAGTCCTTCTATCTCTGTCATCTCAGGTGTCCTTTTCACATCCCTACTTGGGTAAGGGTCCTCTGGGACCTGGAATGTCTTGTGCAAAAACCCATTCTGGAGAGAGAGAGAGAAGTCTACATCTGCTGCTTTTATCAAGCTAAGAACTCACTCCCAGGGGATGAGCACTTGTGGTTAGTTGTCTTTGTGCTCCTAACACAAACTGTTAGCTTCTTAACCCAGTAAGTCCCTAGTTATTATGAATATGTCAAGAGAATTGACATGGATGCATTTTTAGGTGAGCTCATATATATTATATTAATGAATATTAGTGGACATTGTCATTATACTATTATTCCTCTTATGTAATTGTATTATCCCATTATGTAAGTTTTTATAGGTGCTTCACATCTTGGACAGTGGGACAAAAATGGGTTAATAACCACTCCTTGAGTTAATGACTCCTTGAGGTAATGATAAGGAAATTTGACTGGAAAGTTAGATGTAGGTCAGAGTATATCTTGACTCAGTGAAACCATGTGGAGGATTTTGCATATGTTTGGCAAATGCTCTACCACTGAGATCTATCCCCAGCCTTGAGAGGTTTTCAGAAACAGATATAGCATTAAATTCTGCAGTAATTGACATTGAAGACTGAATTGGGAGGGGCAGATCTGCAGTGGCCAGCATCCAGTGCTTCTGCAGACTTGATTCAGGTTGGGGCTGAGGTGCAGGCAAGAGAGGAAAGGGTCTAGCTGGATGCATGGAAAGTAGGTGGTATTGGAGGATGGGTAGTTGGGAGTTGAGCCCAGGGAAGAGTAGGTGCTTCTGGGCTTTCTGCTTGGATTGTATGTGGAGAATTTGTATTTGCTGCGTAGGGTAGGTGATGAGGGGAAAGGTGAGCGTGGGAGACTTGAGTTCCATTGAGCTTTAGAAATCTCAACATTCCAGTGAAATTGAGTGATTTCAGGAGGAAAGCTTAACTTGAAGGGGATCTGTAGGTTGATAACACGCTGGTGGTGATGGTGTTCAGATCAGGTGTGTAGTTTTAGGCATCTAACCCTTCTTGGACTTGATTATTAGGAAACTTGTTTCTTGTGAACTGAATTCCTCTACTTTAGCTAAAAGTTGTTTTTTCTTTCATTTATTCCTCTAGGGGGCTTACCTCTTAGCAGCTTCAAATGATTTTGCAAGCCGAATCTGGACTGTGGATGATTATCGATTACGGGTAAGGCTGGGTTAAGACAAGTATAATGTACAAGCCATGTGGTTGTCAAGGCACACAATACAGGAAAATGGCAGATGAATAACTAGGGGACTTGTGTGTGTTTCCCTGAAAATCATACTTGATTGACACTTTTCTCCTTGGGAAAATTTGTTTCTACTTACTCCCATATTTTGTCTAAGATTCAATTTCAGCATGTTTGCAATAGACCCTCCCATGTCCATGGAAGACTTGGGGATACTCCTCCTGTCCATAAGGACTAGGTACTTTTTATATAGATATCAATTTTAGCTTAGCTTTACAGATTTTAGCATCAGCATGTGAATTGTGATTCACCTCATAGAGTAAGCTGGAAAGTAGAAAAAGTACAAAAGGGTATACTTATGATAGATGTGAATGACTCCTGATGCTGGAAAATAGGAAACAGGTGTAGAAGTAGGCTCAGATGTTGAGGCAGTTTGCATTTGAGCCTAACTTTGCATCCAAGACAAAGATCTGAACTTGATGGTTATAAGTTTGACACAGCTATTTTTGTGTCAACTACATTAAAAATGGCATGATGTTAAAAGGAACTTCTTGAATCCACTGGGAGGTGGGGAGCTCTATTAGAATGGTCTATTAGGTAGGTTCCTGGTGTTCTGATTGGAGGGTGCCTGGATGAAGCTAGGTGAATCTTTAGAAACAGAATTATCACTTTAGGCTATCTGTCTTCCTGAAAACTGTGTGGAAGGTGAGCAGTATTAGGTGTAGCTAGTACCTGAAAAGTTGAAATTCTTGATTGTCACTTGACAAAAGATTCTCAGAAATGCAGAGCAGAGCATGCTAGGGTTGTGGCTCAGTGGTAGAGCACTTGCCTAGCACGTGTGAGGCACTGGGTTCAATTCTCAGCACTGCATATAAATAAATAAGTAAATAAATAAAAGTCCATTGACAACTAAGAAAATATTTTTAAGAAAAGAAATGCAGAGCAAAGCCCTAAAGGTGATAAAAGATGAATGCGTTGTGTTCTTGTTCTGGATGGAGGTAGAGGAGGAATTTTAGTCTTAAATAACCTACAAAGGGGAAGGAGTCTAAAGTCATGCAGTTAGTAAATAATAAGGTTTGCATTTTAATTGAGGTCTGTGCTCTTTCCTACATTGAGCTGGTCTGTATTATTCAACACTGAGAACAGAGCAAGGCCGACTAATCATTGAAGAGGTACCAATAACCTTCCTTGATCTTAGGCCCTGGGAGAGGAGGGAACCTTTTGAGAGTAAACCATTTGTGCAGGATGGTATTTTTCATTCCTAAGAGAAGTTACATACAGATGGCCTTCAAGCTTTGGGCCTGAAAAATCAAGAAGGAGGCCTAGGAAGGTAGACCTAAAAGACAAAGGCCAGAGTATTGGGAGACTTTGTCCAAGTGAGCAAGGTGGAAAGATGGACCCACTCCTCCTTGGAGAGAGTGCCCACAGGATGCTGGTGGGCAACCCCTACCTACACAGGCTGCTGTTGATGGTGCCATGTCAGAACTGTACCCTCCTTTCAAGACCAGTTGGTGCTGAGGGCCTTGACCTGTTTTCAATGGAGTCCCATCCCTAAATAAGCATTTGAAGATCTGGAGGCCTTTTACAGTGGATTCTCTACCCAGAGAATACTCATGAAACTCTCAATGGGTTCAGGAAACAAAATAGGGTCCCTGTTTTCTAAAGTTACATGGGACTCGGTGGTGTAGGACTTCAATCCAGCAACTTAGTGAGACCCTGTCTCAAAATTCAAAAGTACTTGGGCTGTAGCTTAGTGGTAAAGCATCCCTGTGTTCAATCCCTAGTACCAAAAAAATCTAAAAGTTACTGCACAACTACCTGGATGCTTCTTTGTCTTGAGGAACTGTGTTGAATACCCAGCTGCTCACTTCTGTAACCAATGTTGGAAAAGTGCCCGTTGTAAGGATCGGCTCCTAGGTAAGATGTAGTTTTTACTTCAGAAACCTCAGCCAGTTTGTGCTGAGCAGAGTCCTTTTTGTGCTGTAGTTTTCTTGATCTTACCAGAAGTTTACAGATATTATCAAATAGTTTGAAGAAAAATACAGTAGAATATAGAGAATAGAAGGTGCTGACAAGAGGTAGTGCATACTTATAGGTATTTTTCAATATTTATTCTTCCCATCCCCATTTTAAAAGTTGAAACCCTTAGCTTGGTGAGGCTGTGTCACTGAGACCTGGCAGTAGGAATTGTCAGTGCATTAATGAGCTGGATGGGTGGGGTGGGCTGCTCCTTCCTTTGTCCTTTCATTTCTGCTTGCGGGATGTGGGTGTAATGGCTTGAGTTCCTGGACTCAAGGAGTTTTTTTTTTTTTTTTTGTACTTTGAAAGAAAGCATCAGTGATCAGTGAATACCTTTTGAGTTTTTGTTATTTGCTGCCATTTGGGGGTTTGTTTTCCCCTTGGCAGTTCTGGGGATCAAACCCAGAGCCTTACACATGCCAGGCAAACCCTTTACCACTGAGGCACGTCCCCAGCCAGGTGAATACTTTATGAACCTTTGGAATTTTTTATGTATAAAAATGCCAATCCCATTGTGAAAAGAGGTCGATGATGAGTAGTAAAAGGTCTGACTGCCCAGGTCCCCTCCCAGCATCCTGAATGTCCCCAGCCGCCTCAATCCCATCAGGCTCCAGTGGTGCCACAATGGGCCAGAGAGCAGCTGACAGGCAGGGATGGCTTGAGTCTGTGTTCCCTGGTGAGCCAAGGGAAGACACGGTGGTTGCATCCAACAGCTTAGCCACGAAGGGCAAGGGACTGATGGTTGGGAGAGCTGGTATCTGTGGCTGTGATCTGACGTTTTCAAGCTGAGACCTCTGACGGAAAACGCCCTAGAGCTTTTAAGTATGTAAAGTTCTGATGCTTCCTTTAATAAATAATGTCTGCAGATAACTTGTCTAATCTCACTGCAGTGGTACTGGACAAAATCCAGGCTTTTAAAATCTTTTATTTTGATACAATGGAGATTGATTTTTTAAAAAATCAAGAACAGAATAAGCAGGAGTCTGTAGTAGAGCCGGGGGTGTGGCTCAGTGGGAGAGCACTTACCTAGCAAGGGCAGGCCCCAGATATGGTCCCCCATGCCCACTCACCTGCCCCTTTCTTTTCTCACCACCCCCACCCCTTCCAAGGACAGGGAAGGACAGGGAAGTTTGGTGCTGGTGATGCTAGGGTTTTATTTAATGCTATTGGGAGATTTATCCTCTTGGTCTTGATACCTACGTTAGGTTTCTGTTGCTGCAGGAAAATACCTTGAAGTAAGCAGCTTAAAAGGAGGAAAGATTTACTTTGGCTTGTGGTTTCAGAGGTTTCAGTCTCTGGTTGCTTGGCCCTGTCACCTTTGGCCTGTGGTGGCACAGCATATGATGACAAGAGTGCATGGTAGAGGGCCCTACCCATTCACCTTTTGGCCAAGAAGCAAAAAGTGAGATGGGAAAAGACCAGGACCCCAGTATCCCCTTCAGGGGAATGACCTCGACTTTCCACCTCCTGAAGCATCTGCACTTGCAGTAGTGCCATAGGCTGCAGACCACGCCTTTTAAACATGAGCTTTTGAGAAGCATTCAAGATCCAAGCTGGGGCTGGGGCTCGGGCTTAGTGGTAGAGTTCTTGCCTAGCATGGGCAAGGCCCTGGGTTCCATCCTCAGCACCACATAAAAATAAATAAATTAATTAAAGATATTGTGTCCAACTACAACTAAAAAAAAAAAAAGATTCAAGCCATAGAAAGATCTCACCTCTTGGCAACACCCAAAGACAGAGACTTCCTGGAATTTTCTGTAAGCTACTCAGACCAGAAATGTTGCTGCCTCACTGAAATTGCTTCATAGGAAATATGTAGCCTCCTTGGTTGAGACTAAGTGAATGAACATGCCTCCTGTCCTATGTTTCTTGTTCTTTACCTTCCCATTGTCTTGGAGTTTCTGGTCGGATCTCAGGGTGTTTTGAGATTGGCTCTGGAGGATTGAGTGCCTCCTGCTCCTCCAGCATGGCCAGCTGGTTGCACCCCAAGGCTCATCGTGGCTATTTTCTTTCCTAGCACACGCTCACAGGACATAGTGGGAAAGTGCTCTCTGCTAAGTTCCTGCTGGACAATGCACGGATCGTCTCAGGAAGTCATGACCGGACGCTCAAACTCTGGGACCTTCGCAGCAAAGTCTGTGAGGAAATTCAGTCTCTCTGTGTATTCATGTAGACAGTAGTCTTGGAGGTGGTGTTTCTGAGCTTGCGTTTCATGTGGTACACTGTGAACTTCGGGTTCAGTTTCATATTAAGAGGGGCACTGAGATAGTGGCAGTTGCTATTTGAGGTTTCATTTAAATTGGTAATTGTGATAGTTGAGTGGGTAGAGTGTAACAGTGTTGTATACATAGCCTTTTGGTGGCTGTGCTTGATGAATGGTGTTTGATTTTCTTTCAGGCATAAAGACAGTGTTTGCAGGATCCAGTTGCAATGATATTGTCTGCACAGAGCAGTGCGTAATGAGTGGACATTTTGACAAGAAAATTCGTTTCTGGGATATCCGGTATGTCACCCAAAAACTTGGTGGGGGAGCAGACAAAAGTTTGTATGTGGTAGAGTTGTGGGAATGTGTCATAGGTGGGTTATATTTTTTAAATCTCAGGAAATGGCAGAAATGAGCTCTATGACACCAATATCTTAACAGTATGCTCTCTCTCCCTCACTGCAGTGTCAGCTGCTGGGGTTAGCCTTCAGTCATTGCACATACACCATGGGCAGGCCCCTTGTTGCAGAGATGACAAGATACCAGCCTGTCTTGGGCCATTTGAAATAAAATCCAAGGGACAGATACACAAGTCAGTGAGCAGTGTACCAAAGTAGACATGGCTGCCTCTGTCCAAGGATGTTATGATTAGTCTGGAGAATTGAGAGGATAGCTGAGGCAGGAGGATCACGAGTTCAAAGCCGGCCTCAACAACTTAGTGAGACCCTGTCTCTAAATAAAATGTAAAAAGTGGGTGGGGTAGGGATGTGGCTCAGTGGTAGAGTGCCCCTGGTTTCAATCCCCTATACAAAAAAAAAAAAAAAAAAGTAAGTGGGCAGGAAGTGGAGGGCGTGGGCCACTGGGATTGATAGGGTAATACGAGTTGGGATAAATTTCCATAGGCTGTATGAGTTGTTTCCAGACCTCTCAATCCTTTTTTTCTCACCCTATCCTTTTTCATTTTATTTTGAGACAGGGTCTCTCTTTGTTGCCCAGGCTGGCATCTAACTTGCAATCCTCCTGCTTCAGCCTCCCCAGTGGTTAGGATTGTGGGTATGAGACACCGCACATGGCTGTATCTTTGTCCTGGAGTCATTAAGTGTTAAGAAAGGACATGATTGCTCACAAGACTCTAGTAGATTATTTTGGTGTCATTTGTAGAGGTCATGTTGGAATGCAGGAATATCAAAGAGTTGATGAGGACCTGAATCCAAGGCAGTAGAGGGCAAGATATAAAAGGGCATCTGAAGAGAAATTTGACATTGAAACATGGAATTTTTAGAGTTAAATTGGATAGATGTTGCAAGTCTCCTGGTTCACTCCCTAATTCAACTGTTAAAGATTCCAAAGCAGTAGTGCGGTATGCCTCAAGTCACAGATTTAGCAACAATAAGAAAAACTTCCAAGTTACAGTAGAAAATAATTCATTAGAAGCTTACAAAAATATCACTGTGGAGCTGGGCTTTGTGTGGCACTTGTCTGGAATCCCAGTGACTTGGGAGGCTAAGGTAGAATTGCAAGTTCAAGGCCAGCCTCTTAAATCCTGTCTCAAAAAGTACTGGGATGTGGCTCAGTGGTAAAGCACCCCTGGGTTCAGTCCCCAGTACAAACAAATCAATCACTATGGAGGGGTCAGGACTTCCCTTGGCTGTGGCCTTGTCTACCCAGGGGGCTGTTTACTGACCTGTGTAGACTAGGGCACAGAGGACAGGGGAAACAGTAACAGAGTGCCTAGGGCAGCTGCCCTGGAGTTGAAGGCCAAGCCAAACTGAATATGGTAAGATGCCAGTAGGAGACTTCCCAGCCCACTAAAGCAAGGTCTGTGCCACAAGTATATAAAAGCAGAAGTTGTCATTAAAATGGTACTCTTTGGAGCCTGAGGTGCACTTACTGGTAGAGCATGAATTCAGCATGCACGTGAGGCCTTAGGTTTGATCCCAAACACCAAAAAGAAAAGAAAAAGTAATACAAATTGGATACTGGCTGATCAGAAATTCTGATTGCCATGAAAATTCTTCCCAGATTCAGAGTTTTAATACTCAAAACTACTAGATAAAATCAACAGAGGAGGCCCAATTGTTGGGAAAATAACAAAGTCGTCACTCTGAGCCTGAGAACAGGTTGATTGCTATTGGAGCCTGTTGACTTGCAGCAGCACCTCTTCTGTGTGACACAGCATCCTAGTTAAAGTGGAGACGTTCTGACCTTTCTATGTTAGGTTTCTCAGATTTTTCATCTCCCTTAGGTCAGAGAGTGTGGTTCGAGAAATGGAGCTATTGGGGAAGATCACTGCCTTGGATCTAAACCCAGAAAGGACTGAACTTCTGAGTTGTTCCCGTGATGACCTGTTGAAAGTCATTGATCTGCGGACAAATGCCATCAAGCAGACGTTCAGGTAACAGAGTTGAGGGGTGTCTCAGGACCCTGGCCCTGTCTGCTTCTGTCCCACTAGCTGAGCTTTTGGGGTGACAGTGCCTATTGTTTGTTTCAGTGCACCTGGATTCAAGTGCGGCTCTGACTGGACTAGAGTTGTCTTCAGGTTAGTAGCACTGTCCCAACCCAGCTTGGTTAATCTCAGGTTAGCACATGGGGTTTTCCTGCTGGGGAAGTAAATAGAGCTGGATTTGTCCAGTGTGTGAACTAGAGCATGCAGAAGTGAGCCTGAAGATCATTCTGGGGTCACCATCAGTGTCTCTTCCCTTCCTAATGTTCCTTTTGCAGTTCCACAAACTTAAGTGGATTGTGCCCAAAAATAATGGTTGCTTGGTTCTGGGTGGGCCATCAGATTCCCCTTCCATTACCCACCCATTTATTCCAGCCTGTTGGAGAGCTTTTGGGGATTGGCAAGAAAGCCCTGGAAACTTGGTGGAACTGAGCTGGCACTTGAGAGATGGCATCTCAAGGTGGTCTCTAGTTGCCCTTTCCTCCTATCTTCTCCCATATACCATGCTACTCCAAATTGTGTGTCCAGGATCATCACCTGTACTCTGGAGAAGCATCTCTACATTTGATGCTTCCTGTTCCTTTTCTACTCTCAACTGAACCATTCAGCAAGCAAATTGGGAACTGTCAGCTGTTTGGAGGTTGGCTTTTGGCCTCCCTATGTGTTTCCTGCGTCTGATAGATGGCTAGGGACTTGAACCCCCAGGAAGCGATGAGGGTGTCCGGAGGAGTAGTTGCATGCTTGCCTCCTGTGAGGAAGCGTTACCTCTTGGGAAGAGGGTCTAGGGGATGCTGAGTTGGGATGGGGAGCTAATAACTTTTGTTCTCTGTCTCCTCAGCCCTGATGGCAGTTACGTGGCAGCAGGCTCAGCTGAGGGCTCTCTCTATGTCTGGAGTGTGCTTACAGGGAAAGTGGAGAAGGTTCTTTCAAAACAGCACAGGTATGGCAAACCTGGTCAGCACATACACGCACTTTCCCAAGGTTTGAAAGCAGGATCTGTGACTTCGTTCTAGGGTTCATGTCCTCTTTGAGCTTCAAACTCAGTGGGCCCCTCAAAGGCTGTGGTTGTTGGCCATGGCCGTCAGTACAGCAGACAGAGGAAGTTACTCGAGATGCTCAAAGTAGAGCCATTAAATGGTGGCCATTAGGAAAAGTCGGGGAAACACACTTTCCCTGTCCCCTCTTTCCACTTCTCTCTTCTCCTTACTCTGTTCCTCTCTCTCCCTTTCTTCCTTGAATCTCCCTGTTCCTAAACACTGATTCCCTTCAACCTTATAGGCAGTGCCCAGCTCCCTTTTTTCTTAGCTTTGTCCATCCACCCAAGCCCACTTGCTAGTTATAACAGAGACCCCCTGCCAGGTATGATGGCCCCTCTTCCTCTTGCTTCTCCTCATTTTTCTAGTAAACTTTCAAAAACAGGCCTATAATCCCAGCAATTCCAGAGGCTGAGGCAAGAGGTCACAAATTTGAAGCCAGTCTCAGCTGGCTTAGCTAGACAGTGTCTCAAAAAATAAAAAGGCCTGGGGATGTAGCTCAGCAGTGAGGTGTCTGAGTTCATGAGTTCAGTCCCTGATATAAAAGAAAAAAAAAAAAAGACAAACCCAGCTTTCTCCAGAATGCCTATCCTCTGGCTGTGCAGGTCTGCTTGCCCCTCAGAGGCTTACTTTGTCTTCTGGTTCACTCACAGCTGAGGCCCAACTGCTAAGGGAGCCAGATTCCGTTTATTCCAGCACTGCTGTGTACAGTGCAGGGAGACTGTCTCCAGCATTCTTTTGCTGTTAATGAGTCACTGCTTGGGTGGGCACACCTAGACTCTGAATGCATGGGGTCTGGTTTGTGGCTGACCGCGGCCCTAACCCCAGTGCTCTCTGGTCTCTCCATGAAGCTCCTCCATCAACGCGGTGGCGTGGTCTCCCTCCGGTGTTCATGTTGTCAGTGTGGACAAAAGCAGCAAAGCTGTGCTGTGGGCACAGCCTTGATGGCCTTTAGGAGAGGCGCAGAGACTCGCACAGCCCTGTCCTGTGGGCACAAGTCCTTCCCGAGAAGAGCTCAAGCCATGTGGCACGGTGGCCTTCCTTGGATGGGAATACTGAAAATATTGACTCTGCTCTCTAATGGCCTGGAAGAACCAACACTGAAACAGCCTGACCCTGCAAGTCACCTGGCCGAGGTTCGGGCTCTTGCCCTGTTGGGGTGGGAAACACTACTAGCTCTGATCTTCCATACCTCATTGGGGAGCACAGGGTCCCCACTGGGTCTCCTCACTGGGTGACAGTGCCAATGACATCCCACATGTCTGGGTTGGTTCCCAGCTGTGCTTCTCCCATCCTTCCAGCGTCGGTTCTACCTGATGCATACCCTTCGCCTGGAGGTCCTTTGCCCAGTGGACTTGCTCTAAGCATTGGCTTAGAGGAAACCCCAAACACGTGGTCTGGGGTTGTCACAGGGCTCTCGTGATCTCGTCTTATTACTGCTGAAACTTGAGGTCTCTTGACTGGTCTTCAGAACCTTGACTCCCTTCCGCTCAGTTCTTCTACGTATCTACTTTTTGGTCAAGGAATGAATATAAATTTGGTTAAAAATCTCTTTGAGATAGGCAAGGACATGTGCCAACCTTTTCCAGTGAGGCGGGTTTGTGGCAGAGTTGAAGAATGTGCTCCTGTATCACTCTGCAGATGCCCAGAAGGTGGGTGCTTGCCACGTTCACACTGATGACGAAGAATTTAAGACCTCTGATGTATTTGCTCCGAAGCTGGTGGTGGTGACTCCAGCCACTGCCCTCTGCCAGTCCTGCCTGTGCCGACTTCAGAGTTCAGTGCACGAAGCCCAGTCTGGGGAGCATGGCAGTGTAGTGTTCCCTGTTGGGCCATGATGAAGGCTGGGACATTCATCCTTACCATTTTACCTGCGTAAGATTTTAGTTCTGGTCTGGGTGTCCAGAACACCATGTTTTTATCACATTTTAATTTGCACTTTATTTTATTATTTTTTTTTCCTTCTACAATTGTTCTCTGGACAGTTAGGGACACGAGTGCCAGAGCAGGAGGAGAAAGGAGTGAGGCATCTTTGCTCTGACAGGTACATCGTCTCCATTCTCCGTCCTTTCCCTCCTTGCGTCTTCCTTTTCGGTTTGCCATTCAGAGAACTTGCATTGAGGGGAGTGGAAATTCACAGCCGGGCACATCTTTTATTTATTTATGTATGTTGCCCAACAGAACTTGATTGTAAATTAAAAAAAAAAGAAAAGAAAAGCAAAACTGTTATCTTTTCAAATTGACTGGTTTTTCTGGTATTTATTCTTTGTAAATAATGGATAGTACTTTGCCGCTGTTTTCTTGTTCATCACATCACCTCATCCCACACATCATCACTCCATATAAAGCATCAATATTCCCGTTTCACATCCTGTGCAAATCTTAACTGACCTGGGTGAGTTTCTTCAGAACTTCATCATTTCTGGTATAGGAGCCAAACATCCTGATCCTCCTGCAGGACACCTTTGTCCACAGGGTGTGTGACCTGATGTGTCTCCTTTGGGCCTTGAGCTGAAGAGGCATGAATTGGGGTTCTAGAGTGACTTACCTGTGGCACCTCAGATACCTAACATGCGGAAGAGCCAACATATGATGTCACCACTCTGAAGGGACACTCAGACAACGTGCATAGGCTTAGCCCCAAAACCTAATCTGGTTCCCACAATCGGGGCTGAAACAGCCAGCCTTGCAAAATTGAATGAGCCCTTGCATTTATTTTCAGAGAGGAAAGTGATTCTGAAAATAGGCCTCTAATAAGCATCGCAGTTTCCTCAGATGACCTTGTTTTTGAGAACTTTGAGGGAAACAGGCAGGGCTGCATTCTGTTTTTCTGTTTGAGCTCCATCCCACTCTGAAAGTTCTTCAGTTCTTTAACTGCCACAGCTGACATAAAAGTGTGGGGTCACACAGAACTGGGGAAAGCAGCTTCTGTTCACCCCGCAGCCTCTGCCTCAGTGCCTGAGGTCTCCTGGTGCCCTCCCACTGCTGCTGCTTCCTCTAGTCCAGGGACCATGCAGAGACATTCCCAGATAATTCCCACGTGCCACCAGCATTCACAGCTGGTTGACTGCTTCCTGGATGTTTGAGCCAGAGTGCCCCTTGTTTGTAAGTGGCTCCTACTACAAGACTTGTTTTGGTCCAGACATTAACATGTTTTAAAAGCTGATTAAAGTTTTCTATGGCTTTATGTTCCCAGATACCTCATATATGTTTGTGTGATGCTGGTGATTGAACTTATGGCCTTGCACATACAAGGCTCTGCCACTGAGCTGCATCCCCATCCCCTGACAATCTTAAACACATACTGTGTATGTGCTGCTCCTTGTCATGTATGCTGCAAAGCCCCTTTTGCATCTCCCCCATCGGGGCACATGGAATTTTGTATGGACACTGGAATAAATAAATGGTTGGAGACCCGTCAGCTGTGAGAGGCAAGGGCAGGTCACCTGGAAACCCCAGATTGCAGTGCACCAGTACATGCAGAGCTACTCTCCTGTCTTGTCATATGTCCTTTGTCACAAATGTAAAGTTGCATGGCCAAGCAAGAGATCCTCATCCTAGAGGGGGGTGTGTGTGTGTATGTTGTGTTGTTTGGGGTAGAGTGGGAGAAGTGCTGGGTTTTTGTTTTGTTTTGGTACCAGGAATTTAACCCAGAGGTAGTTGGTCACTGAGCCACATCCCCAGTCCCCCCTCCCCGCCCCCCTTTTTTTTTGTGTGTGTGACAGGACCTCACTATTTTTCTGAGGCTGGCTTTGGATTTAGCAATCCTGCCTCAGCCTCCCACTGAGATTGCTGGGATTACAGGTGTGTACCACCATGCCCAGCATACTCTGACCAGACTTCTGACTCTCAGGTGGGCATGCTGGTGCTGGTCTGCCACCAAGGCCCCAGGGGATGCAGAAGTGAGTCTTTTGGAGGGATAGAGTGAGCTGGCTGTGCCCCTCTACATTGACTTCAGTGTTCCACTTCAGTGTGCCCCATGTATACTAAGAGGCATTTTCATCTAATAAACCTCAGAAATCCCAGGTAAAGTGAAGCATACCTGTATTTACATTGTTACCTGGGGCTGGTGCTATGTGCCCATAAAGTGGGCAGCTGCCTCGCTCCAGCGAAGTGTGATTCTCTGGCCTCGGGGAGCCATGACTTGTTATCCTTCTCTGCTGATTTCTGTTTGTGTCTCTGAATCCTCCGTGGCCTGTTCATTGTAGATATAGTCCTCTACTTGTCTGTGACTATACCTGTGTCCCTCAAGCCCTCCCCCACTTCAGTGACTCTTCCCCTGGGCCATACTGCTCTCATTCTAATAACCCTAGATTGGCAAGTGTGTTCAGTGAGAATCAGGACAGATCCAGAACCTCGGGAGGCATGTGGTTTTGTGAGGAGCTGAGCCTGCTGTACCCATCAGTCTTCTTTTATTGGGTTGGTGGTACTGGGGATTGAACTCAAGGGCATTCAACCACCAAGCTACATCCCCACCATGGCATTTTACCCCCAAGTCTGCCCACATCCCACACTTACGGACATGAGCTGACCTTGAACTTCTGATCCTTCTTAGTCTCCCAAGTCTTGATTACAGGTGTATGCCACCACACCTAGCTAAAACAATCATTGTTCTGGGAGTCAGCTGGCCTGTTGGGGATAAATGGTTTGGAAGGCATCCACACCCACCTGGCTGTTGATGTGAAGGGTAGCTGTGGGACTGATGACACAGCAAGAAAGCATCAGTGTGTCAGCATTTGTCTTGGGTGTCACTGGCACTGAACCCAGTGTGGGGTACCAAGAGGAATCATGGCACCATCTCAGCAGTCAGCCACAGTGAGATCTACATTCTGCTTTCCAATCAATTGTCTTTTTGTTAATGTCCCACCCCAGGTTTGGTTGACTTTCCTCCGTAAGCATAATTTTCTGTCTTGAGTGGGAAACATTAGCCCTACACATTCCTATATGTTGAACTTTGGGCAGATTTGCTCTGACCCTGGGATACAAGGAGAGCTGTGCATTTGTCCTTAAGCTTCCTTTTATCACAAAACTGGATGAGGAGAGGACAGAGGGTATGCTGTGGAGTTTTAAACAACAGTGGGGTCAGAAGTCCTGTGGCCCCCAGGGCTACACACTCCTAGGAGACAGGGACCACCATATTCTTAACACTTGAGAGAGTATGTGGCACATAGCTTCTTTAAAGTTTTTATTTAGTAATAGAATTGAATCAGTGAATAACAACAGACCACCATAGCTGAAAGGAAAATAGGAGGTTAACCCCAAGAATAGCGGCGGGCTGTATCTCAGTGGTAGAGCATTCCCCTAGTGTGCGCAAGCCCAGGGTTGGATTCCCAGCACCACAAGATCTAAGCAAGAAAAGGAAGAATGGTAAGTATGGTTTTGTAGAAATTTTGCTCTATTTATACATGTGTATGTACTGGGTCATAATGTTGAAAGTGTATTTTTTATTGTTTTTATGTATATATTGAGTTGAGAGTCACATACCAAACCATTTTAAAGTGAACAATGTATTCATGATGTTCTGTGACCACCACCTCTAATTCCAACCAATAACGTGTATCTGTATTCTTCAATCTTTTTTTCATTTATAAGCAGTGATATAAAGAAAAGTGAGGATCTGCATCCAGAAAAAGGCCTATCTGCCTAATTTGGGGCACCTTCTCAGGGGGTGTACAATCCTGAAGCCTGTCCGCAGATTCTGTTGAGATGGCCTTGTCATCTCGTAACCCATTCATGTTGGGGCCCCTTGGACAACACTGCAGGGAGAAGCAGCACCTGGCAGAGGTCAGCCTCCCGCTGGGGGGACAGGGGAAGTCCTGGTCAGGATCTCTACTCCACACCACACAGGGCTTCTCTGCCTTAAGGGACTCACCTATACCTTCCATGAATCTTCCCAAAACAGAGCAGGCCGTGGGGTACCGGGTTACAGATGAAGGAAAGGAAGTAGCAGTGGGACGCAGCTGCTCTGCAGGTCATAGGGGCTCATCGGTGGCCATGCAGCCCAGGACTCCAGGCTGAGGCTACCTATACAACCTGCCATTATTACATGGAAAGTGGAGAGTTAAATACCATTCCCAGCATGACGCCTAGAGAGTGATGACCGTGATTTCCCAATACGGAAGAGCATTCACCTTGCTGGGGGGTTACAAAGAAGATCCAGGTAAGGGCTGGAAAACAAAGTGAAGGTCCCTTGATGGCCCCTGGGATTGCATTTATGATTTTAGATATTATTAGCCCAGCCCCAAACAGCTCTCTCTTCTTTAAACTTTTTTTTTTTAACTTTTAATATTTATTTTTTAGTTATTGGCGGGCACAACATCTTTGTTTGTATGTGGTGCTGAGGATCGAACCCGGGCCGCACGCATGCCAGGCGAGCGCGCTACCGCTTGAGCCACATCCCCAGCCCTCTCTCTTCTTTAGATGGATGGACCAAAAGATACGTGTTGGAATCAACATGGTGGCCTTTACAAGCTCCAATTCCCTGGTACGGTTCACCAATACCAGGTGTTCTCTGCTCAGTAAAACTAAGGCAATGAGGACATGATTTTCATTTGGGGGTTGATGTTTAGCAGAGTGTGCCCATTTTCCTTGAGCATGTATCCTAATAAGCCCTTAAGATGACAAGCTAACCCCAAAGCCCATAAGCTGCTTAGCTGAGTGTCCCCACTACCCGCTGCCCCTGCCCTGTGAGCTGCAGCTGTGGGAGATGAAGCCCAAGCTTGAAGATTCATGTCACCATAGAACACTCCATAGAAATGAGTATTGCTGCGGGCAGTGCTTCTCCATTTTTGGGAATTCATAGCCCAGTGAACTTCAAAAAGAAATCTAGGGGAAGGTTGCCAGCTTTGTATTTTTGCCAAGTAAGGACTTTTTTCTAAATGACTGTGTTCTCCCGCTATTTTCTAAAAAGAAAGGACTTTTTGTCCTTCCACTTAGGACCTGCATTCTGAAATATTATGGCTAAAGTGTCATGATGTTGCATTTACTTTCAAGTGGTTAAAAAGGAAAAAGAGTAGAGCTGGACATAGACACATAGAAAGTTGTTAGTTGTCAAGTCTCAGTGTTGACGGTGCAGGTGTTTATTGTATCTTTTTCTTTGAGTTCTAAAATTTCATAATAAAATACTAGAATGCAGAATCAATAACAGAAGGCTGATCTGTTTGCCAGGGGCTGCAGGGTCAGTGGAAGCGTTGACGGAAGTGAGTATCAGGTCCCTTTGGGAGTGATGGGCTAATGACCTCATGATCTTAAGATAAGGGGCAGTCTTTTATATTGAATATGTTGGCTCTTCAAAAAAAACTCACAAGAGCCAGAACAGCGGCTCATACCTGTAATCTCAGTCACTAGGGAGGCTGAGGCAGGAGGGTGGCAAATTCAAGACTAACCTCAGCGAACTAGCAAAGCCCTATCTCAAAAAATAAAAAAAAGAGGGCTGGGGATGTGACTCGGTAGTAAAGTGCCCCTGAGTTCAATCTTCAGTACCAAAAACAGAAACAAAAAAAAATTCCATGAGTGCCCTCATTTTTCTCATTTCTCCCCCAAGAAAATAAAAATTTATCACAGACCAGGGGTTGGGAATAACATTTCCAAAAAAGAGTAAGAGTAGAGTGCTTACCAAGCCTGTGTGAGGCTTGGGGGTTCCTTCCCCGGTAGCACACACACAAGATTTCTTCACGATGAACCCAACTACTATGTATAACTATGTAATAAAAAATTATTTATTTTTGTGTGTTCCTGGGGATTGAACTCAGGGCCTCATGCATGTTAGGCAGATACTCTATCACTGAGCCACATCTCCAACCCTTAATTAATTAATTAAAAAGGCAGGACTAGTTGGGTTAGGTGGCATGTGCCTGAAATTCTAGCGGCTCAGGAGGCTGAGGCAGGGGGATCACAAGTTGAAAGCCAGCCTCAGCAAAAGCGAGGACTAAGAAACTGTCTCTAAATAAAATACATAGTAGGGCTGGGGATGTGGGTCAGTGGTTGAGTTCAATCCCCGGCACTCCCCTACAATATGCAGGACTAATACATTCAGAGTTTCTCAGATGGCATTTTTCTTGTATTATTCCTTTTTATGTGTGTGCTTTTTTTTTTTTGCTTAAAAATTTTTTTTTACTTGTTCTTTTTAGTTATACATGACAGTAGAATGTATTTTGACATTATACTACATGGAATATAAATTTCCATTCTTGTGGTTGTACATGATGTGGAGTTTCACTGGTTGTGTATTCATATATGAACATAAGAAAGTTATGTCTGATTCATTCCACTGTCTTTCCTATTTTTAATATGTATTTATATGTGTGTGTATATATACTTATACATACACACATATATAAATATATATAAATAAATATATATACATATAAATATATATATTTTAATTTTTTTTTTTTTTTACTGGGGATTGAACTCAGGGGTACTTGACCATTGAACCACATACCCAGCCCTGTTTATTATATTTTATTTAGAGACAATGTCTCACTGAGTTGCTTAGCACCTCACTTTTGCTGAAGCTGGCTTTGAACTCACAATCCTTCTGTCTCAGCCTCCTGAGCCTCTGGGATTACAGGTGTGCGCCACTGCGCCCAGCTGTTCAAAGTATATTGAAGTCCCTGTTCTACATGCAGGAGACAGAATGGGTACAAAATAATCAGAAATCTCTCTGCATTCCTGGAACTTACATTCCAGTAAGGAGGGGCAATGAACAATAAGCCAGGTAAACCAGAAAACCACCTTGTATGTTGGATGACAATAAATGCTATCCAGTAGCATAATAAAGTGTAGTAAAAGAGAAATTTGGGGTGAATTGAGTTGGTTTGCAATGGGATATATAATAAACAGGGCAAAGTGCAAGTAAAGACAAAGGAATGAAGGGAGTAAGTCATGTGCCTGTCTGTGGAAAGAGGAAACTGCAAGTGCAAAGGCCCTGAAGGTTTAAACTTCAGGTTTAAAGAAAAGCAGAGAGGCCAGTGTACTAGAACAAGGGGGAGGAGAGAGTGGTGAGGAATGAGATCAGAGGTGCTGGAGAGGGGTGGGGAATTCATGTAGGATTTAGATGGCATTTAGATTTAAATGGGAAGCCACCAGAGTGTTTGGATTGATGCTAATACTCCAAAGTCACAATAGGCCTCTGCTTATACTTGCTTCATTCCTGGACACCAGGTCACGTCTACTACATAGGTATGTGTTTTGGTTTGGATGTGAGGTGTCCCCAAAACCTTCTGTATTAATGCAGGAATGTTTAGAGGTGAATGATTGGACTTTGAGAGCTGGAACCTAATCACTCCATCCTAGTTTGGATGATCTGGGCAGTAACTATTGGCGGGGGGAGGTGTCATGCCCTGGAAGGGGACATCTTCCCTGTGGCCTCTAGCCGAGTCCTGGAGGTCGGGAGGGCTTCCCTGAGTAAGTGATTCCTGGTCAAAATCTGAAGGGTAAGAAAAGAAAAAAGTGCAGAGAAGAGAGAATTGTCTTGGGAAAAAAGGGCAGTGGGCTGGAGCAGTGCGGGGCAACCCTGTTGGACCAGGTGGAGGCTGGGGCTGCTCTAAGAACTTTGCCTGAGAGCAGTGGGACATCCTCAGTGGCAGGTGACAGGTCAGGGCTGGGAAGGCCCCTTGCTCCATGTGGAGAAGGCCTGAATGGTAGGAATGGATGTCATCAGATGGCATAGTCATTAAGGTCCCTGGAAGCCAAAGCGGCAGTGAGGACCCCCTGCAGGTGCTGGGCTGGGAAGATGTGGGCAGAGATGCAGGGGAAGACAAACTGGACCCCTGGTATAATCAGCAGGACCCCGGCTGGAGGAGAGGGCCCTAGTCAGTGTGGCCAGCACGACACCAGGTTCACCTTGACCTTTCCCCTTGACCTTTCCGATTACATAATGCCTGCTGAGTTAATCATATTTGTCATTGCACTTGAAAATCTTGTCTTGATGATGCTGAGGAGCAAAGGGATAAGCAGTCTATTTTCAGAACCCAAAGAGGTTTAGGATAAAAAGTAGCTTTCAGTTTGCTGCTGTTCTTCCCCCATGTGAGCTGGACAGCGATGCAGCCGCAGGACCCCCTGTGAGGAGATGGGGCCTCAGCTAATGCTTAGAATTGCTGATGCTGCGGTTTGCCATCTCAACCTAATCCAATTTCCACTCTGCTCCTTAAATGGGATTTGGCTTTTAGACACTGAGACCTGGGTGCTGGGCATCCTCACCAGATCCCCTACAAATTCCCCACACACATCAGCCAGGGGCTGGCCTGTGACTTGCAGGGTCATCTGGTAGGACAGCACCAGCTGGCTCAAGCAGGGGCTGGCTGCCCATCGTCCCAGGACATAGGGACCCTCTCCTGACTCCTTCAGGCATCCCATCTTGTTGGTGATAAATCGCAAGGTATGTGACCACCACAACCCAAGCCTTCTCAGAACCCCTGGGCAGGCACAGGGAGAAGCAAGGAAGGGCATTTTTACCTAGATTGTCCCAGTGTGGTTTCCATAGGCTTTTGCTTGTGAAGGAGACTTGGAGAGCATTGAACTCCAGACCACTATGATGGCCTCTGGAACAGGTGGCAGACTGTGGGAAGGCAAGCCCTGCCTGCTAGCAACCACTGGGTGGGACTTTGGGGATTTTTTCATATGTCCTTGAAAACTGCTTTTATGAAGTGGTTCTGTGGTGGATTTCAAGAACCTTTTCTATTTATTTGCTATAAGACACAGTCATGATAGAATTTTAGATTCAACCTGGCTAAGTGTAACGACACCAAAGATCAATCGGAAAAGCAAAACTTTCTCACTGGAATCTAGCTGCACTTCCTAGTAAGCTACCAAGAAATGTTTAAGGCTTACCAAGAAAAGTAAAACCCACTTAAAACACACACACACACACACACACACATGCATCCTGCAATGAAATATAAACTAAGCAAAGACCTTATTTTGCCAGGCCTAGGTGTGGGAGCAGGTAGAGGAAATGTCCAGTGGATATGAGCACCTCATGAGTAGGTTGTTCAATCAGGATGTTCCTGAGTGTCTGGTCAGGAGTGTTTTACCTTTTCCCAGCCCTCCAGCACCTGACGCACAGCCCAAGGTGGAAGGAGTTGCCAGCAATATACAACATGGCAGCCAGTGCTAAGACCAGTAAGTCCCATGTCATCTTCAAGAAGGTCTCCCGGGATAAATCGGTAAGTGGCACAGAAGTGAGTGACTTCATGGAAATTACTGTAAAGTAATAATAAATGGAGATTTTCTGAGTGTAGATACGATCAACAGCAAAACTCTGTGCGGTGCGGGGAAGCTCCATGGCTATTTTCCATCTCTGTCCAGGATGGTCAGTCGAGGGGACTCACAGGAAGGAGTGAAGTGCAGAAACACAGCTTCTCTCCAGCCTCACTGGGACTTCAGGCCTGCCACCTCCGTGTTCTAATCTCACTCTCCACAGCATCACCCCAACTTCACTGCTTTTCCTGGCCATCCTTGAACCCATGACTTACCATCTCAAACACTGTTTAGTCGATACCTGTGACTCCCATGGCCCGTGATCAGTCATGTCACCTGCCTGGGAGAGTCCAGACTGTGGATGAATGTGAAGTGTTCCTTATTTGCATCTGTTCCACAACCACGAATCACTTCCCAGCTGGATCTTAAGAGCCACTGATGTGGAAAAGGCCCCTTTTGCTCCCATTCCACCATTCTCCACTGTGGCTGACAGCCACCAATAACCTGGCCTACTTAGCAGAGATGATGCCCTTCAGGGATCCATTGGATGGTCTAGGTGTTCCCATGAACTTCCTGTCATGGGGACCTGATGGAGGGCCCCGACCCAGCCTCTGAGTGGGCTCCTTCTGGGTCAGCAGCCTAACTCAGCAATGTTCAATGCAAGTAATATATGTAATTATAATACTCTGGTAGCCACATTAAAAAATTAAGAGGAACTGGGTGTGGTGGTACATGCCTGTAATCCCAGCAGCTTGGGAGGCTGAGGCAGGAGGATTGTGACCCTGTGTCAAAATAAAAAATAAAATAAAAAGGACTGGGGATGTGGCTCAGTGGTTAAGCACCCATGGGTTCAATTTTGTGGTACCAAAAAAAAAAGGAAGGAAAAGAAAAACCTAAGAGAAATTAAGAATTTAATACTTTTTTTGCAGGGGCGGGGGTGGTACCAGGGATTGAGCTCAGGAGCATTCAATCACTGAACCACATCTGCAGCCCTATTTTGTATTTTATTTAGAAACAGGATCTCACTGAGTTGCTTAGTGCCTCATTTTGCTCAGGCTAGCTTTGAACTCGTGATTCTCCTGCCTCAGCCTCCTGGGCTACTGGGATTACAGGCTTGTACCACTGCGCCCGGCTGAATTTAATACTTTTAATACTCTTCATTTCACCCAATATATCCAAAGAACTATCATTTCAACACATAAACAATATAAAATTACCAACAATGTATTTTATATTCTTTGCTAAGATGTTGAAATGTGTCATGTGTCTTACATTTGCAGCAAAGGTCAATTGCAATGGCTGTATCACAGATGACCAGAAGCCACCTGGATCTACTGGCTGCTGAACTGGACACTGTGAATCTAGCTCCTTCTATCTGATTTCTGCCACCCACACTGGGCTTGACAGAAACTCTTCAGTGCTTATTGTGCCCACAGCCTTGTCCTGCCTTCTCCTCTCCCAGTTCATTGCCTTCATTAAGTACTCAATTCTTAGGAGTGATCACTTGGGTGCCCTTCAAATTTTAATCTGCCAAACTCTTTCCCTGTTTGTGTCCATCTGTGATCTCAGCTTCTGGCAGGACAGGAAAGAAACCACGTCTCTAGTTTTCCTTGTCATTTTCCCACTTTCCCCTCCTCATACTTACGTAAAATCCTTTGGATCAAGAAATTTATTTTTCTATATTGGTAGCCACAGGGGGAAAAAAGAGAATTGTTAAATTAATATTGCACATGTTAGGATCATTTTATTGAGACCCAGGGGGCAAGTAGCAGTGACCTCAAAAGGAAGCACTGAAGGGAAGGGGAGGGACGAGAGCAGGTAGAGGAGTGGGGTGACATGATGTGAGACTGTAGCAATCTGCTGGGTGCCCACACTATGGTCATGTGCCTCTTCTTCCTGGGTAAAAATTGCCAATGGTCTTCAGGGTCTACCAGACCTCGTGAAGCAGTGGCTAGAGGCGGTCCCAGGGAATGAATCTTGATTATTCTGATCTAATTCTAACCATCTCATTCCTTGGCTCCTTGTTGGTTTAGAGTAGTCAGGTGACTGAGTTTCAACCAATGAAGATGAGAGGGGAGTCTGCTGAAGAGACCCTGGGAAAGATTTCCTGGCTCTTTTTAAGAGACTCCAAGAAGGGCTGGGGACCCAGCTCCCTCCCCTGTGCTCTCCAATCCTCCCTCCTCCCAGCCACAAACAGGCTTCCTCCCCGGCTGCCCTTGATCAATCACTCACTGTCCTGCCAATATGATCTCCGTCTAGGACACCCCCTGTAAGACAGGCTCATTCTCACAGAGTTGCGAGAATGAAACCAAAGAGCACCTTCAGGGTGGACACCTGATTTTTTTTGGGGGGGTGGGTACTGGGAATTGAACCCATAGGGCTTCACCACCGAGTCACATCCCCAGCCCTTTTTATTTATTTATTTGTTTATTTTGAGAAAGGGTCTCACTAGGTTGTTCAGGGTGTGGCTGAGTTGCTGAGGCTGGCTTTGAACTTGTCCTCTTGCCTCAGCCTTCCCAGTTGTTGGGATTACAGGCATGCACTACTGGGCTAGACTCTTTATAGAGTCTTTAGGCTCAGATCTTTTTTTTGAGTTGTAGTTGGACACAATACCTTTATTCAACTTATTTATTTATTTATTTTTTATGTGGTGCTGAGGATCAAACCCAGGGCCTCCCAGGTGCTGAGTGAGCTCTCTACCGCTGAGCCTCAGCCCCAGCCCCAAGGCTCAGATCTCAACAGCCTTTTCTGGCATTACCCCCGTTTGGTGGCCATTTACCACAGAGGAAGGCCTGGCAGTTCCAGAAGCAACCTCCCCTCTGGGCCTTGCAATGTTTGTCTATTTTGCCGAGATAGCCACACTCAGCATCACTATCACTGGGCGGTGCTGTCTGTCCTTCAGCGTCCCAGCAGGTAGAGCCTCCTCTGAAAGGAAGAGCTTCACTTTCTTCTTCCCTCCTCTCCCCTCCCCTCCCCCTACCTCTGCACTGGCACTTGGCCCAAACAGAAGGACAGGGACCTGGAGGGTCTTTATCTCCAGTGCCAGCAGCACAGGTAGGATTTCCATAACCAAGCATGTGGGAAGAGTGAAAGAGCTCACCTCATTCATGGAGCTTAAAGTGCTTCACACTGGAGCTGGGGGGTTCCTACTGAATCTTCTCTGCAAACAATAGTGCTTTCAACATCAGTCATGCTAGTAACCTCAAAGGCATAGGGACCCACTTCTGATACACTGCAGAGGAAAAGTACAGCACAAGACTTAATGCCAAGGAAAATGATCTAGATGTTCTTGGAAGTGAAAATTTGCATTGGAGAGGCTCGGGGAGGGGGACGTGCGCTCACTCCCTGATGCGCTGGCATGGCTCACCAGCCCTCTGTGCATCAGAGGCTGAAGTAGGTCTGTTGAGGGAACACAGCCCCTGCTCTCACACAGATCTGTCAAAAAGACCTTGGCTGTCAGGGGCATGCGATGGGCAGGACCAGGGAAGAGACCACGGCTGTCCTCTCCCACCCAGCTCCACCCCTTCCTTCCTCAGAGTGTGGGTTTAGGTTTCCCTGTCCAGAAGTTTTCCGGGACTCCTCTGGAGCTCCTACCTCTCTGCACAGTCCATAAATTCTTTGAACACAGAAGTGAGATGTTTCAGTCCACAGCTAGAAATAGAAGCCTTCCCATGCAAACAGGTGGCAGGAGACCCATTGACATAGGTATAACTTTCTACTAAAGTATGAATTGACAAGTTACCTGGTTGATATCAGACCTGGTTTTGATGGGGAAAAGGAGGTGAGAAAAGAAGTGGGAAGAATTCCCACCATCCAAAAGGGCAAGAAAAATGCTTGGAGCTGGTGCAGGAGACTGGATGGAGCACACCTTGCCTGAAACCCCGTTTTTGCCCACAGCCCAGCCAGTGGTGAAGAAGGCCTTGAGGAGCTGCAGAGCCAAGTGGCTCATCTTTTCAAGACTAATGAAAAGATTTGATGGTTGTCAATTTGCCATTTAGAATGTACACTTGTTCTTCTTGCAGGTGACCATCTACCTGGGAAAGAGAGACTATATAGACCATGTCAGTCAAGTAGAGCCTGTAGGTAAGTGGAAAGGTATTGTGTGTGTGTGTGTGTGTGTGTGTGTGTGTGTGTGTGTGTGTTGCTGGGGATTGGAACCCAGGGCCTTGTTCATGCAAGATAAGCACTCTACCAATTGAGCTATAACCCCAGCAAGTTGGAATAAAATTTAAAATTTGTTTTCCTTTATGTCATCAGATAACTTCCTGTTTTGTATTTTTAATAATCTAAGTAAAGAATTAATAATTAAAATATCAGGGAAGTGCCACTGGCTGACTGGAAACAATGTTTCCAGTGTGCAAGGAGATGAAGGGACTCATTTCTACAATATACAAGGAATGCTCAGAACTCAACAGTAAACAAAAAGCATCCAATTAAAAAATGAGCAGGAGATAGACATTTAAAAAACAAAGATATTGATAGTAAGCATTTGAAAACTCAGCATCATTAGTCATGGGGGAAATACAAATTAAAGCCACACTGAGATGTCATTACATGCCTATCAAAATGGCTAAGATGGCAACCCATACTTGAAATACCAGCAACTCAGGAGACTGAGACAGAAAGATCCAAGCTTGAGGCCAGCCTGGACAACTTAGTGAGATCCTATCTCAAAAATAAAATAAAAAGGGCTGAGGATGTAGCTCAGAGGTAGAATGCAGAATGCTTTTGGGTTTTATCCCCAGTACCATAAAGGGGGGGGGGGAATACCAAATGCTAATGAGGGCACAGAGAAACCTGATCGCTTCTAGAGGTTGGTGGTGGGAATGTAAAGTAGTCCAGCCTCTCTGGCAGCAGTTGGATAGTTTCTTTAAAAACCAAACATAAAGCTGAGCACGGTGGTACACACCTATAATCCAGTAGCTCAGGAGGCTGAGGCAAGAGGGTCTTGAGTTCAAAAGCCAGCCTCAGCAACTTAGCAAGGCCCTAAGCAACTTAGTGGGAGCCTCTCTCTAAATGAAAAAAAAATTAAAAGGGCTGGTGATGTGGCTCAGTGGTTAAGCACGTCTGGGTTCCATCTCCAGTACCAAAAGAAAGCAAAATATAAAAAAATAAACATGTACTTCCCATCTGACCCAACGGTTGCATTCCTAGGCATTTATCCCACAGAAATGAAAACTTAGGGTGCTGGGATTGTGGCTCAGTGGTAGAGCACTCACCTAGCACGTGCAAGGCTCTGGGTTCGATCCTTAGCACCACATAACAATAAATAAAATAAAGGCATTGTGTCCAGCTATAACTTAAAAAATATTAAAAAAAAAAGAAATGAAAACGTAGGTTCACATAAAATTTTTTAGGGCATGATTGTTCCTAGCAGGTTTTAAATCTCCAAACTGAAAGAACCAAAATCTCTCAGTAAATGAGGTTCAATAAAGTGAGATCCATTTGTGCCACGGAGTACACAGTAAAAAGAATGAGCTATTGAATAATGGTGGAATGAGTTAGACATCATTACCCTAAGTACATGTATAAGGCACAAATGGTGTGAAAATACTTTGTGTACAATCAGTGTTTTGAAAAATTGTGCTCTATATGTGTAATATGAAATGAATTGCATTCTGCCATCATGTATAACAAATCAGAATTTTTTAAAAAATGAGCTATTGATAACCTTGAAACTCAGAAGCCTTGAGGATGATTCGGTGAGTGGAAGAGGCCAGTCCCAAAGGACCACATGCTGTAGATTCCATTTATACAATGTTCTCAAGATGATAAAATTATAGTGAAGGTAGCTGCCAGGGGCTGAGGATGGTGCGGGTAGGGGATGGTGGGACCACAAGGGTAGCCAAGGGGGTCTTTACGGTGATGGGACAGTTCTCCATTTGGACTCTGTGGTGGTTAGACAAAGCTCCGCAAGTGTTAACATAACATAGATCTATGTACACACCTGGTATCCTGGTGGACTTCCTGCTACTGTGCTGTAATCATATAAGGTTTAACACCATTGGGGGATGTAGGATAAAGGATACTGGGCATCTCTCTGTGAATCTGTAATTATTTCAACATAAAAAGTTGAAAAAGAATCCAGGCACAGTAGTCATGCCTGTAATCCAGCAACTCACAAGGCTGAGACAGGAGGATTATAAGTCCAGGCCAGCCTGGGCAATTTAATGAGACCCTACCTCAACAAATAAAAAGGACTTGGGATGTAGCTCAGTGGTAGAGAACCCTGGGTTCAATCCCCAGTACCAAAAAAAAAAAAAAAAGAAAGTATCTTCTGCTCTCCTGATCTAACCCTTGCTGTTCTCTCTCTTGGTCTAGATGGTGTGATATTGGTAGATCCGGAGCTTGTGAAGGGAAAGAAAGGTGAGCAGAGACCTTGTCCTCTGGGCTGTAAAGGTCAAGGCTCCCAGCTGGCTCTGGGAAAGAGGCATTTGTGTGGGGAAACCACGCCTGCTAGAGGCAGGAATAAAACCCAAAATTTATTTTTATGCGTTCTTGCAATGATTCTGAACCACAGTGTCACGGTGCCCTTGAGATTTCTGTAGTTGAGATGTGTGTGGCAAGCCATTTATTACTAATGACTGTTGCATAAACTGAATCAGAACAGATTCAGCTTATGCTGTGAGAAAGTCGCTGACTCAGTTCCATTCTAAATATGTGGTTGCTACTGGCAAACACAAGGCCTTATTGTAAACCTGGGATGTGCCCACAAGCATGACAGGTATGGGCCATTAGCAGCGATGGGGATATGGCAAGAATGGAGCAGAAAAATGTCCTGCTCTGCCATCTCTACCTTCCTGCCAGGTGGAGCCTTGCCAGCCCATGCCCTTGGCCACAGAAGGTTGCCTTATGTCAAGGAAAGCCACTGCCTGGCGACAGCAGGCATAAAACTAGGTCCTCTGGGCATTTTGCTTGATTACTAACTTTGAAGGTGGACTGGGCAGGTGGTCAGTAGATTCTCTGAGCCAGCAACTAGGGCAGTTGCCCTTATTGCTGACACAGACGAATCCTTAAGCAACAGCTTCTGAGGGCCTAGAGGGGCCACTTCTGTTATGCCTTACACTCAACAACTGTGGGCTTTGTGTCTTTTTCAAAAAATGCCTCCTGAACTTCCACATGATTCTTTTGGTCCACTGGGATCACAACTTTAATCAAATGGAATTTTCTAAAGGGGTGATTTAGAGAATGCTTTATAAGTTTCAGAGCGATGTGCAAAGAAGGCTCTAACTGGAGACTTTTGAGGTTGGTTTCATCTTCCTGCTTGGCCAAAGGCCCCTCCGGCCCCTCCGGTCCCTCCCTCAGCCCTGTCTGGTGGCAGCTCACATCCTTTCACTTTCCCTCTGCCTTTTACCTTCACCCTTAACTCTGTCCAGCATCCTGAACCTCCAGGCCCAAGCAAGTAGCACTGTCTTAAAGTTCCCCAAGTAGCCTGAGCTGGCGGGCACAGTGGCGAGGGGTGGGATGGAGAGACAGCGGGCTCAGGTGGACAGTGCCAGGTCCTTGGTCCACAGATATCTACCATCCTGGCAAAATAATGGGGTTGCCAGAGAGATGTTTCCCAATCCTCTGACAGTCCCCTTAGGGTCATGAAATTTAACTCCCAGGAAGGTACTGATTCTCTCCAAATATGTGCGCCAGCTGGGAAGTACATTTTTCTCAGATCCATTCCTTTCCAGACATGAAAGTCTGGGGCCAATGGTGTGGTGTGGTCACCCTGCTGCCCACTTATCCCAGTAAGGATGGCATCAGGCTGTTGGGGGCACGTCCAATGAACCAAGCTCATCCCTATCTGTCTCTTCTTCCTAGTGTTTGTCTCTCTGACCTGCGCCTTCCGCTATGGCCAGGATGACATCGATGTGATAGGCCTGACCTTCCGCAGGGACCTGTACTTCTCTCGGGTCCAGGTGTACCCTCCAGTGGGGGCTGCAAGTGCCCCTACGCAGCTGCAGGAGAGCCTGCTCAAGAAGCTGGGGGGCAACACTTACCCCTTCCTGCTCACGGTGAGTGCTCCTGACCCCTGGCTGGCCGCCTTTATCTATGGCTCCTCATAATGGGAATGAGCAACAGGAAGGGAACAAAAGAAGGGCTTTGTGTCTTCAGGCCTGTAAATTGCACCCTTGAAAGAAATTCTAGATTGCATGGTCTTTGATAGTCTTTTTTTTTTTTTTTTTTTTCCAAATCCTTGAAAATAGCCTCCTGCCTTTGAAGGCACCATTTCAACCTGCCCTTTAGATATTTCCTTTGTCTGACTGCCCAATTAGATGAGTTCATGCTCTTGCTCCGCTTATTCAGCTATAACAACAAATCTGCAGAAGTTTCCCTGGGCTGGCCTGGGGTGTTCTTTGCAGGAAAGTTTCCCAAAGGACAGGTGAGCCTAGTGGAATAAGAAACCATCTTTAGCCTTGCCCATAGCTTGGTGGCTTATGTAACTTTAACCTGTCACCTCTCTTGAGGCCCATATCTCACCAGTGACCCTGCCTCTCAGGGTGCCAGTGCCCGGCAATGCAGGCAGTGTGGATGGGAGCTCTGTGAGGGAAAGCTTCTGCCAACCTTCTTCCTTGATGCTTGTCTGTTGTGATCATAGTCTCCTCCAGAGTGATATGGCTCAGCCTGATATGGCCCTGCCTCAAGCTCCAGTGTGGACAGCCTCGAGCCACTCTCAGAAAGAAGCCAGACACGGAAGCTTCTTTCATGTTATCATGTGGTTCCATTTACGTGAGGCAACAGGAATAGTCATTTAGACAGAAAATAGGAGAATGGCCCTGGAGGTGGAGGGGGGGACCAGGGGAGGGGAGAAATGGGCAATTAGTGTCCAGTGAGTAAGGAGCTTCTGGTTGAGATGATGAGAAAGTTCTAGAGAAGGATGGTGGTTGTTATGTGAATGTGTTTAATGCCAGTGAACTGTTACTTTTTTTTTTTAGTTGTAGTTGGAAACAATACCTTTATTTATTTATCATGTGGTGCTGAGGATCGAACCCAGGGCCTTGCACATGCTAGGCGAGTGCTCTACTGCTGAGCCACAACCCCAGCCCAAACTGTTCATTTAAAATCGTTAAAATGGTAACTTTTATATTCTTCTATTTAACCACAATTGTTTTACAAAATCTCTATTAAGCCAGGCATAATGGCACACACCTGTAATCCCAGTGGCTTCAGAGGCTGAGACAGGAGGATCCTGAGTTCAAAGCCAGCCTTAGCAAAGGCGAGGTGCTAAGCAACTCAGAGAGACCCTGTCTCTAAATAAAATACAAAATAGGGCTGAGGATGTGGCTCAGTGGTCAAGTGCCTCTGAGTTCAATCCTTAGTACAAAAAAAAAAAGTGATTTCAGATTGATACTTCCCTTTCTTACAATGCAACATATGGAATTAATTGGCTCAAATGGTGTTGAAATGTACAAAGAAGAATATTTATTGCAGCATTGTTTATAATGGCAAAAAAGTAAACACCATTTTCCAGGCGCAGTGGTGCATGCTTATAACCCCAGCAGCTCGGGAGGCTGAGGCAGAAGGATCTGGAGTTCAAAGCCAGCCTCAGCAACAAGGAGGCACTAAGCAACTCAATGAGACCTAGTCTCTAAATAAAATACAAAATAGTGATCAGGATGTGGCTCAGTGGTCAGTGTCCCTGAGTTCAATCCCTGGTACCCCCAAACAAAACAGTAGAGACCATTTAGGTATCCAGTGAAGTGGGTTGGCTGCATTAAGTGCACGTTATAGAAACTCTAAAATGGTGGTGCCAGACAGGGTTTCACCACACGGGAATGGTCTGAAAGCTTTCTGATTCCGGGGGTGGTAACGAAGTGAGGGAGCAGAAGCGTGTTCAACATTGCGCCATTTCCACGAACACTTACACCTGAGCACACACTTGCGCATGTGTCTGCCCCAGAGCTTCTGGATCGACGCTAACCTGGATGCCAGGTGTGTGGTGGAACAGGCTCTCTTATTTCTTGCTCATCTTCTTCCTTTTCCCACTTCATGTGATGATTCTGTGTCACACCTTAAATACCCCCTTGGAAAGAAGTGATTTTTTTGTTTGTTTCTTTCCAGTTTCCTGACTCTTTGCCCTGCTCAGTGATGTTGCAGCCAGCTCCACAAGATGCAGGGAAGGTGAGTTAACCAAAACACGCCGTGGGTCCTTCCTTCCCTCAATGCACTGTGTGTGTGTGTGTGTGTGCGCACGCGTGCATGCCCACCTGCGCTTGGATATTTAAACAGTGGAAGTTTGTGTGCTGGACACCCAGAATCAAGGGGTACCCAGGGCCATGCTCCCTCTGAAGCCTGTTGAGGAACCCTTCCCTGTCTCCTCCCAGCTCTGTGGCTAGCTGGCCTTCCCTGGCTGCTGATCATCACTACAGTCCTTGCCTCCATGTGACATTCTCTCTTTGCATCCTTTTCTCTCTGAGTCCCTTCAATAGGCTTTTAAATGTAGCTTTTTATCATGGAAAATTTCAAACATACTCCAAAGAAGAGAGGCCAGGATAAGACCCCTGTGAACCTGTCACTCTCCTCAGCAACTGTTAGCCAGGGACATCCTGGTGAACAGGAGACCTGGCCCTCCTGGGCTCACTTGTTAATGCAGAGTAACAGACAACAGTACCCACAGGGCACATCAAGGCCACAGGCACTGTGGGAGCCCCATGCTGGTGAAAGGCGAGGGAGGATGCCATGGGAGGTTTGTTCAGCAGGCTTAGGCAGGTCCTCTGGTAAGGTAAGGAGCAAGCCACACTCCCAGGCAGAGGGGCACCACGTGCTAAGTGAGAAGGGCTGGAGCCGGGAAGAAAGCCAAGATCAGAATGGAAAAAAAAGTGTGGCCAGATCTCCTCAAAGGGCCTGGTGGACGATCTAGGGACTTGGGACGGCAGGCTCTGGACGGCAGGTCTGGCTTAGGTTTCCAAAGTGTCACTGTGGCTACTACGTTGAGAATGAGGCTGGGCTTGGCATGTGTCATGAAGAGAAAAAGAAGCAAAGCCGGGGGGTGATGGGGGTGACCAGGGATTACAGGCACAGAGGAGGGGCAAGGACCCCTGGATGCTGAGTTCTCGGTGTCCTAAGATGTGACAGTGACTGCAGGTCTGTACCTGCACAGTGGAGGAGGACACGCTGGACAGTGTTTATCAATATGGGATCCTTATGGTTGATGGTTCCAAAATGGAATCCAGTTTTAAAGAATGGATGGAACAGAACAGAGGAGAATGGAGGGAGGGGAAATCCCAGTGCATCACACAGCAAGACTGAATTATCACATACTAAGAGTTACAAGTCTTGCTTCTGAAACATCTATATGCCGTGGCCCAGGAAAATGAGGGGTGAGGATGGCTGAGATTGGGGATGACAAGCCCACTCAAGAAGAGGGGGACCAAGAACTGAAGTCCAGTCTAGTCAGATCTTACGGTGCTCTTTTGAGAGACCTAAAATTCAGATTCTTGGGCAACCTTTCTGGATCTCTGTACAGGCTACATCAGGCCCTGCCTATATTCTCTGTTCTATGAGATGAAAGAGTGTCAGTGGGTGGGGAGAGCTGCAGGCAAGATGCTGCATTGTACAGAGCCTGGAGATCTGCCTGCAGGCTCCAGGGAGGTCTGGGACACGTAGGAGATTGTCAAATGAAGAAATAAATAGATGTAATATATATATGCATTGCATGAATGATAAGTTACATGTTATGACCTTAAAATATTATGCAATATAGGGCTGGGGATATCAGTTGGTAGAGTGCTTGCCTTGCATGCACAAGGCCCTGGGTTCAATCCCCAGCACCACCCACACACACACAAAAATTATGCAATATATTATATAATATTCTATTATGCTATATAATATTAACATATAACATGTAACATTAATTATATTGATAATATAATAATATACTATTAATATATGATACATTATTATATTAAATGATATATTAATAATCATTAATATAAAGACGTGTAATATATAAGTTATATAATTATTATGTTATTATTCATATATATATATATATATATAGAGAGAGAGAGAGAGAGAGAGAGTGTTTTTGCTGGAAGAAGCATGTAGATGGGAGAGGCTGTAGAGGTGCATGCTCTGTTTGTGCAATAGCACAGAGTGGGGCTGTGAGGCAGGGACAGGGTGGCTTCACGATGCCTGGTGTGGCTTGCAGTGATATGTATGTATTTTTAACCTGGAGTTTACAGTGGCCCTGAATGCACCCTGGCAGGACCTGTAAGTCTGAGGCTTGACACAGCAGGTGTCAAATGCCTTTGCTGACACCCACCCCCTCCCCTGGCAGCTGGGGAAGCCTGCAGAGCCAGCTGTGGGTGGGAGCCCAGTGCAGAGGGAGGGTTGGAGCAGGGGCTGAAGGAATCACACCCGGGGCTGAGCACTGAAGGTCACTGGCAGATGCATTTGTCTGACCCACAAATTCTTAAAAGTTTTTTGTATTTAAAAATGAGGTTTTACACCAAATTCCATTTCTACTTTCTGTTTAAAATTTTGAGGTATAGGAAAAGGGACCTGGGCACAGTGGCACACACCTGTAATCCCAGCAACTGGGAGGGCTGAGGCAGGAGGAATGCAAGTTCAAAGCCAGCCTCAGCAACTTCATGAGAACCTTTCTTAAAAAGGGGGTGCAGAGCTGGGAATGTGGCTCAGTGGTTAAGTGCCCCTGGGTTCAATCCCTGGTGCCAAAGGAAAAAAACATTTTAGTTGTAGATGGATGCAAAATGTTTATTCTATTTATTTATTTTCATGTGGTGCTGAGGATCAAACCCAGTACCTCACACATGCTAGGCAAGTGCTCCACCACTGAGCCACAACCCAGCCCCAAGAAGAAAATTTTGATGAGCTGTTGACATCATGGGCCATTACTGGCTGGCCAACTGGGGTCAGGGTGTTCTCACCTCAGCAGGGCATTCACAGATCTCACCCCCAGCCCCTGTGATCACCTACATCTGTCCCCTGCTATAAGGATCAGGAAGTCATAACACAACACAGCGTCACATGGAAAAGGACAGCTACGAGTGCAGGGACCTGCCAGGCCTTGTGCGATAGTCTCCACACCACCAGAGGGCCTCATCGGGCGGCCCACTTCCCGTCCACTGGGGACTCACTCCTCATGCTAATGTCAGGGTTTTATTATAAGTACACCTCTAAATTGAATCTTCATAGGGCAACACTAAAAGGGATGTGGCTAAGACAAACAGTTATGGCCACAACCTGTACCTGTGGGAGGTGGGACCCTGCATCCCAGCTCTTAGGAGGGAGGGTGCTGGCAGCTGCCCTGTCTCCTCTTGTCTCCAACAGAGCTGTGGGGTCGACTTTGAGGTCAAAGCATTTGCCACAGAGAGCCCAGATGGTGAAGAGGACAAAGTCTCAAAGAAGTAAGAGCCTATTTGGAATAGGTGAGGAGTGGGGGGGTGGCCATAGTACAGCACCCATTTTATCTCTATGTGACAGAACTGTTCCCCTGGGGCTGTGTGGCAGGGGTGATGGCGCCTCCCCAGCTCTGGGCAGCTGAGGATGGAACTATCTACCATCTACCTGTGGGCATTGGTGGGTGGTCATCTCAGGGGACAAAGGGAAGAAAGTGACAGTAGCGCACAACATCAAGTGCCACAGAAGCACCTATGAGCTCTCAGATCCTTCTTTTGTTTTCTTCTCCCCCAGAGTCCCCCACCTGGATATTGAACCTGGGTCCCTGACCTATATCCCTAGCCCTTTCCATTTTTTTTACTTTGAGACCTATCTCCTTAAGTTGCCCAAGATGGCCTCAAATTTGAGATCCTTCTGCCTTAGCCTCTCAAGTCTCTGGGATTACAGGCATGCACCACTGTACCCAGCTCTCCTTTTTTATTTCTATTTATTTATTTATTTACTTATTTTGGTACTGGGGAATGAATCCAGGGGCACATTACCTCTATGCTAGATCTCCAGCTCTTTTTATTTTTGAGACAGAGTTTTGTTAAGTTGCTTAGGGCCTCACTATGTTGCTGAGGCTGGCCTTAAATTTATAATCCTCCTCAGCCTCCCAGTTGCCAGGATTACAGTACCACTATGCCCAACATTCTTCCTCCTTAAACAAATTTTTTATGGTGTTAAAATACACATAATATGACATTTGTCATTTAACCACTTCTCAGTATACAACTCAGTAGCATTAACTCCATTCCCAATGTTGTGTAATCATCTCCAACATCTATACCCAGAAGTAAAAATTTCATCCCATCACCCCAAACAGAGCTCTATAACCAATAAGCAGTAACCTCTATTCCTCCCACCCTCCAAAACTCAAGATCATTTTTCTTTTCTTTTTGTTTTTTTTTTTTTTTTTTTGAAAGAATTTCTTTTTTATTTGTAGATGGACTAATACCTTTATTTAATTTGTTTATTTTTTTATGTGGTGCTAAGGATCAAACCCAGCACCTGACACATAGTAGGCGAGCATTGAGCTACAACCCCAGCACCCCCATGCTCATTTTTCTAAGGAGTTGAACCCAAGGATGCTTAACCACTGAGCTATATCCCTATCCCTTTTTAGTTTTTGAGACAGGATTTCACTAAGTTGCTGGAGCTAGCCTCAAACTTGTGGTCCTCTTGCCTCAGCCTCCTGGGCTATTGGGATTATAAGCATGTGCCATTTCACCCAGCTGGCTCACTTTTCTTGTTATACCTAGCCAGACTTCTCACTGAGCCCTTCCCATTTCCCCACATACTCATGGTACACATCTCTTGGTGTTTACAACAGTTACTAGCTGCAATTTGTTACTGCTCTGGGGCCTGGCCACACGAGGCCCCTGACACCATCACACAGCCTCGCCTAACCAGCGCCTGACAGCATGAAAGAGACCTACAGAGACATTTCTGGCCCTGACACCCAGCCTGTGGAGTGGGAAAGTCCCCAGGGCTGTCCCAGGCACAGGCCTGTCCCATCCCACCTCTGTCAGGACTCTGGGGAGGGGAGAGGAGAGGCAGAGCTGAAGTGGCTGATCTAATCCCAGGGATCCTCCGGCCTTTTCTCCACAGGAGCTCTGTACGATTGCTCATCCGCAAAGTCCAGCACGCGCCATCTGAGATGGGGCCACAGCCCCAGGCCGAGGCCTCCTGGCAGTTCTTCATGTCTGACAAGCCATTGCACCTTGCAGTCTCCCTCAGCAAAGAGGTAACCCGCGTCCCTCTAGGGTAGTGTCCTGGGGCCCCAGCTATGTGGGTGCCTTGCAAGCCATTCTGCCTCAGGAGTCGTGGAAGGCCAGGGACTGTAAATGGCTCTTTCCATAACTGAGCCTCAGAACAGGGCTAACCAGCGGCACTGCCCTCGCTGGGCCCCACAGACTGGGGAGCCCTTTTTCTCACTGGCCTTTCTCTGCTCAACTCTCTAATGTCATGTCATAGGTGTGCCACCCTAAATTATTTACTCCCAGGAAAGTTAGCCGCACAGGGCGGCTGTGTGCGATACCATCCCTCAGGTGTGTCATGGTGGAAAAGGTGAAGCCCTGCTGGCTAAGGCTCTCTCTGATCCTTCTGGGAGATGAGGCAGTTTCACTCATGTGTTGGCAAGAGCCCATGCAGAGTGTGCACATGTGTGAGTGTACGTGTGCACACGTGCCCACTGGGGCTGGGTTCCACGTGATTGCTGGGGGAAGAGCTTCATCACCCAGTGTCCCCGTGGCTTCCTTTCACCTCACTCTTCCTGCTCCCAGAACCTTACAGTCCTACTCAGGACCTCCAGCTTCCTCTTATGTGACTCTCAGAGCCCCATTACCCTCCTCAGCCTCCTGTAGACAGGGCAGAACATGTTCCAGACCCTTCTCTGGAGGAAAGCATCATCTTCCTTAAAAGTAGGGAGTTCACCAAGCTTGTTCTAGTTAAAGGAATTGAACCTAGAATGACCTAATAAAGATTTCCCCACACTCAGTTCTCCTTTCTGACTTATCTCTAACTTTTTCAGATATATTTCCATGGGGAACCCATTCCTGTGACTGTGACAGTGACCAATAACACGGAGAAGACAGTGAAGAAGATTAAAGTCTTAGGTAGGATCTTCTTAAAACTAGAAGGCAAAACCTTTGAGAATTTCTCAGCCTTATCCTGTTTCACCAGGATCACTCTCTGGTCCAAGTAAAACCCTCTGGGTCTTGGGAACTACCTGCTTATCTTTGTTGGGCCATAGGCAATGGGTCTTTAGAGGGACAGCAACCTTACAGGTCATCTCATTAGCCCGTATGCCCACTAGGGCTGTCTTTTGTCTTGGTGACATCCCTGACAGATGCTGTTTCCAACCTCCCATGCTGTCCCTTCCCACAGGCCTCACTGTGCCTAAGCTCAGGGAAGCCAAGGGAGGAGTGTTCCTTTTTGGTCAGTGACAATTTTTTGTTGATCAGTGCAGCAAGTATAGTGGGAAGGGCTCTGGATAGAAGACATAGGGTTAAATTGTGGGTTCATGCTAAGTCTCCTGAAGCCCGACCGGCATCCATAGCAGCAGCTCTTTGTTCATCTTCCCAGGCTGGATTAGGCTGTCAGGAGAGGTCCCCTTGAGAGTGTTCTGTAAAGTGTGAGGTGTGGCTATCTCAGCTTGAGTGGCCACCTTGTGATGGCCATCTCTGGATGCGTACTGCAGGGAGGTGAGACCTTTGGGAGATGATCAGGGCTAGATGAGGTCATGGGGGCAGGACCCCATGATGACATCAGTGGCTTTATAAGAGGAAGAGGAACTTGAACTAGCAATTCATGCTCTGCCTCAATGTGCAACACCCTCCACCATGTTGTGATGCAGAAGAAAGCCCTTACCAGATGCTAGTGTCATCTTAATGGGCGGGAGTTGACATAAAGCAGGTTATCGGTGAAGAGAAATGACTTGAAGACAGAATTGGGAATCACAAGAGTTTTCTGAGAAAGCCAGAAATGGACCAACATGACCCTCAGAGAGAAAAGTCCTGCTGTGTCTCCAGGAAGGCCAGGAGTCACCATGCACATACATGAGGGGCCCAGCGTTGATCACTGCCTCTTATCCTCCCTCTGCAGTGGAGCAAGTGGCCAATGTGGTTCTCTACTCGAGTGATTATTACGTCAAGCCTGTGGCCATGGAGGAAACACAGTAAGTAACAGTTGCATTTCTACTTCCGGGGTGGCCAACCTTCTCTGTCAAGTTCCTTTTTCTTTCATGCTGAGAACTAGAATGCCCAGCCAGCCCCCCAGCTTTTTGCTTCCTTCCCCTTTTCTCACTTCAGGGGATGCCAAGAAAGTTAGCATCTTAGCTCTGTTTACCTCGCCCCATGCGCCTTCCATGTCACAGGAGGTTGGAGAGAACAATGCAATGACTTCAAACAAACAAGGGGAGAAATCAAGGTGGACATGTCACCCACCGGGAACAGCTGGGCCTGCCTATTTATCCTTGACATGAGTCCTTGGTAATGTGGACTCTTTCTGCTCACCCCACCCTGCCCCAGCAGATGGCCAAATGAGCAGTCAGACTAGGCTAGGACTTTCTTTTGCTCCTTTATTCAGTTTGAAAATTCCATACCAATGATAACTTGATTAGGAAGATGCATTCATTTTTAGCCTGTCATTGTGAATGACTTTTCTCCCTTTGATAGAATCAAAAACAAATGAGAATCCTGCAGTGGCTCCTTCATTCATGAGAGACAAAGCAGGCTGCACTTTGTGCTAGGAAGTCAGATACATTTTTTTTTTTTAATGTGTGTGTGGTGTGGGAGATTATACTCAAGAGCTCACATGTGCTAGGCAAGGGCTCTACCACTGAGTTACATCTCTAGACCTTTTTATTTTTCATTTTGAGACAGGGCCTCACTAAGTTACCAATGCTGACCTAAATTTGCAATCCTCCTATTTTAGCCTCCCTAGTGGCTAGGATTATGGGTATGCACCATTGAGCCCAGAAACATTTAATACACATGTTGCAGGGGTATTTCTCACCCCAGAAGGTCTTTTCCACTTTATCTAGTTGGCATGTTCTAAACATTACTGAATGTAGAAAACATTACCAGGGTCAAAGGAAGGTTGGGGTGGAGAGGAGGGGTTGTTGGTGAGGAAAGATAAACTGATTCACTAAGATAATATTGCACAATATTTAAAAGGCAACTTTAGGATAAACTATTACTCAAAACAAATTCATCCTCAAGTTTAAATATAGGCCTTCAGTGGAGGGAAGCAGGAAAGAACCACAACTCCTTAGCTGACTTCTTAATGCCAGGCCTAGGGTCTGTCCCACATTTTGGGCATATCCTTGCCATCCTTGGGGTCTGGGGAGTCTTAGCCCCAGCTGGCCTTTTGGCAGATGCTCAGAAAAAAACCAGGCAAATAGTCCTGACTGAGTTTTTAACTATATACCCTGTTATCTAGCCTACTTTTAAGTCTTTTGGTCAAATGAATCTCAGGAGACTGAAAACCATTCTAAGATCCTCCCAAGGGTGGGGGAGGGAGATTGGAAGCTGGGTCAGATCGTGTTAGTGGGTCTTAGGCTAGAGGCCACTCAGAAGGCTGTAGAGCATGAGCCACTGTGCCAGACCCTGGGACTCCAGTGGGAAGGTTTCCTCAAGCCAGGTCGTACCTGATTTTCAATCTGTTGCCTGCCATTGAGTACCAGGTCCTGAAGGCCCTGGAAGTCGCCTTAAGGTCTTGCCACAGTCCTTTGGCAAGCTGTGATTCAGGAAAGGCCATCATGCAGCCCAGTCTCAGGGCCCCCTTTCTATTTCTGTCACTTTTACAATAATGCAAAGTCCATTTTTGTCAATGCCACTGCCCAAATCTAATTCATTTGATAGATTGCCCCAAGACCTAGGTGGGAGGACATGGGCCATCCTGGGCTCATACAAAATTCTATGAAGAGCTTCCTATATCCACCAGAGGCAGGATCCACCACAGTTGCTTTAAACTCCGCAGTGAGCTCAAATAGGGGAACCCTTCTGTGGGAGGCATTTCGGGCTCCAGCTGTCTTGGAACACTCTTGGGAAGTAGTCCTGATGCCAGCTCCCGGGCAGTGTTTTCAGGTCACACCCTGCCTTCCTCTGGCTGGTACAAGGATGCAGGGCGTGTTGCTGGCACGCAGGGCTCTGCAGCCTAAGGCTGCGACTGTGTGGCTGTTGAGTACAGGGTTGGCAGAGCACAAGATGAGAGGTGTACAGACAGCCCTCACCAAGGCCTGGTGCCCAGCACGTGAACAGCAGAGTTGGTTCTGCAGCCTCAGATGCTGCTTTGTGATCTTGGTGATGCTGTGTCCCAAGCACAACCCCAGATCGGCCTCTTGGCACAGGGTTCCTGCCATCTGTCAGATGCTGGGGAACTCAGAGCTCAGTTGATGACCCAGAAGACCAAGTAGAGGAAAAGTGTGTGCTGCTTTGGACCTGAATCAGCTTGGTCTGTGTGGCCACTGATGGAGGCCCCTTCCTTACCCTGCTCACCAGCCCACCATCAGTCTCCTGGTGACAGATTTTGGCAACAAGGACCTTTCCCACCTGGGCTTATTGACACTGCTCTGATGGCTCTGCTGCATACTGTGGGGTTCATAGAGCCTTAGGAGACTGGCTGGGGTCTCTGACCTGGGACCCATTTGTCTTATTTAGAAATTCAGCAATTCAGAGCAGGTTGGGAGGTCTGAGGCAATGTCCTGATATTGCTGCCAACCCACTTTGCAATTTCACTAACAATATGCTCCTCTTCCCAGTAAGTGGATAGGGAATTTGGATCCTGGAAATGCTGGATGACAAATAGGGTCTGGTCGGGTTGATGGTGACTCTCCTCTATGTTGTTCTTCTTCCAGAGAAAAAGTGTTACCTAATAACACTTTTACCAAGACCCTGACATTGGTGCCCTTGTTGGCTAACAATCGAGAAAGAAGAGGCATTGCTCTGGATGGGAAGATCAAGCATGAGGACACAAACCTCGCCTCCAGCACCATGTGAGTCCTTGCTACTGCATGAAAGTCCTGTTGGTGCCAGCTGGTGCAGGTCTGTCCCCCGGGCTCAAGGTGTGCATGACAGGCTAGCTGGCATTAATGGTAGAGAGTGCAGGTCTCATAGGCCCAAATGAGGCTCCTTCTCCTATCTGGAACAAGGCGGTGATCATATTGGTGGACCCTGGACACAGCCTTGGGTACCCCCAGCTCCACTGCATACTCTGGGTGGCTCTGGGCAAATGACTTGAGCTCTCTGAGAACCTGTTTTCTTGTCTCTCAGTGGAGGGGGGAGTGTGATAAGAGTCCCAATCTCACAGAGTGGTGATAAGGACTGACACAAGCTGCATGCAGCATGGAGCCCAGCACTCAGAAGGCGCCTGAGCAATGTCAGCTGCTAGTTTCCTAAAGCGTCATTAGCTGGTGCACTGTCCTAAGCATACAACTGAGCCATGCAGCTGGCTGTGCTCATCCACTTATTTCCTCCGCGAAAGGTGAAAAGTGGGATCCCGAGGGCTGCAGAAGTCAATGAGCTTTATAGGAAAATAAGCACTGTTTACAGGCATGGTGGCGCCTGCCCGTAATCCCAGCTGCTCTAAGCCTGAGGCAGGAAGGTCTAAATCTGGGCCAGCCTGGGCAACTTAGCAAGACCTTGTCTCAAAATAAAAAATAAAAAAAGGACTGGGATGTAACTCAATGGTAGAGTGCCCCTGAGTTCATTTCTAGCACTAAAAGAAAGGGGGGAGGGAAGGGAGGAAGGAAGATCCACTCGCTGGATTTAGGCAACAGATCTAGAAAAAACTGTACAGTGAAGGCTCAGAAGTCAACACTGCTGCTCTCCTAGCCACCCTTTTGGGCTTCTGTTTCTGGGAGTCTCTCTGTTGGAGGGCTCTGAGGGCTTGTGGTCAGAGCCATGCGCCAGCTCAAGACCCACTTCCTGCCCTCTCCCTGGGTGATGTGCTGGAGGGTCCCTCCATGGCCCCAGTAGGCTACTGACCAGAGAGTTGGTAAGGAGTGGACTTTGCTCTCCAGTTAACTGAGCTGCTGACCCTGGACAGGTCTCTCATTCTGGCTAATCTTATGGATAATTTCCTTATCCATAAAATGAGAATAAATACACCTTGCTCACAAGGCGTGGAGAAATGTACATGTTTTAAATGACTCCGCAAACTATAAAACATGTTTATGATATGGCATGCCATTGTCCATAACATGACTGTCGTGCCCTTGAGGAAGCAGATCTGTGGTGTCAGTTTCTCTGTTATTCTTGCCTTGTGAACATGCTCCAGAATCTAATTCAGTAACTTGGCAACTCACTCACAGAAAATCCTTTGACAGTGAGAATACTCACTGACCCCACTGTTGGCCTTACAGAATGTGAGTCTACCAAGCCATGGGCTCATGCAAGTCAGATAGGTCAACTTCTGGTCTGTTGGCATCACCTTGGAGGCGGCAGGGCGAGAGCTTGCAGGGTATTCTCGGGCCTGTGACAAAGTACGTTCTCTTCCTTGGGTGTTTGGCCTTATTTAACATGAGGTCAAGAGCCAATCCCAGCAGAAGTGTGGAGTTTCAAGCTTACACCCTCTTTTATACCCTTTGGTGGCAACCCCTCTCTGCTGAGTAGGTGACCCTCTCCACAATTCCAGGTAAAAAGGCTTCTCTGGGGATCAGTGTGGTCGTGGGTGCACATGTTCCTGGGCCAGATTTTGGTCTCTGGGCTAGAACTTTCAGGGCCATATCCCAGATCCCAGAGCTGTCAACGCAATCTCCCCTGCCCTCAATCCCCTGCCTTCAGGGTCCTCCATCATGATCTCTATCATTATTCACATTATTTTAGTTAGTATTTCATGATAAATTTTTTTATACTGGAAATTTAACCCAAGGGCACATAACCTCTTAGCCACATCCTCTGTCCTTTTTAAATATTTTATTTTGAGACAGGTTCTCACTAAATTGCTTAGGGACTTGCTAAATTGCTGAGGCTGGCTTTGAACTCAAGACTTCTGCTGCAGCCTCCTGAGCCGCTGGGATCACAGGTCTGCACCACTGAGTCCAGCTCATGATAATTTGCATGCCTTAATTCCTGTTATTGGACATCCTGAAATACTTAAGTCTTCTTCATTGGGTCGTGTGAGATAAAAACCTGTGATAAAATGTCCACTGTGGTGTGTATCAGATAACAGGAATTCCACGCATGTTAGGAGATTTGGAGTGAAGTTTCTGTCAAGGAAAGTCACACCTCACCCTCTTTGGGGCACATCTCATGCACCTCATTCACTCACTTAAACATTCACTGCTAGGCACATACTGGGTGCCAGTGGGGCAGGGTCCAGAGCAGTCACAATTCCTGTGATCAGGGCTACAATAGAGTATCCACGTGTCTTTCCCATGAGCAGAGCACAGAGGAGCGAGTCCCAATGCTCCCTGGCAGTGTCTGGGAAGGCTTCCCAAAGGAGGGGAACTATAACTTGGGGTCTTAGGGGACAAGAGAGGAGAAGGAGGGCATTCTGGGGCAGGCTTGTAGTTGGCAAGGCTGGCGCAAGGCAGGATCAGGCAGTGGGGCAGTGGGTAGGAGACGGCAGAGGCATCTTCCCGAAAAACTGAACCTGAAAGATTTCTCAGGCTACAGAGAAGCTGGAAAGCTCAGTTAAGGAGCCTGGCACGTGGGAGACCATTACAGAGACCGATACCCAGGCAGGGAAAGCCCATGGGAGGACTCTATGCCTGCCCTGCTGAGATGGTGGAGCAGGCTGGGGAGAGGCTGGATGACCAGGGTACAGAGGAGGGGAGGAAGTACGCTCCTCCCTCTGTGGACTGCAGGAGTAGGAGAAGCAGGCATCCCTGCACCCCTTCACGTGTATGTGCAGTCCTTGGACTCAGGCTGGCCTGGGCCAGTTCACCAGTTCCCGAGAAGCAGCCTCCAGATGAGTGGCCCTGGTTGGAGGAGCAAGAATCCCCTCACAGGCTGTGCCTCCTGCTGCCTCCTCACCCTCCGCTCTTCCTTTCTATTGGGCAGCCTTAAAGAGGGCATGGACCGCACCATCATGGGCATCCTGGTGTCTTACCAGATCAAGGTGAAGCTCACCGTGTCAGGGTAAGTGCCGGCACTTGGCCTGCTCCCTCTTGGCCTGGGACTGCTCTTTCCTGAAGGACTAACAGGCAGACAGCGGCCGGAGGCAGAGCCTACTGGCTCCTGTGCTGGCCTGGGTTGGATTCTATTTGTCCCTGGAAAAGAAGGTTGTGAAATACTGCACTGTTCGTACCCTGGGCCAAAACAGCTTGCACCTGCACACCACCGAGGTAGAGCGCTGTAGAGCGCTAGAGAGCGGAAAGAGAATCAGTTTCATGTTACATTGTACTTCAGAAAGAACAATGGCTGCCCAGTGGACTCCCAGTGACCTTCATCTGTTTGCATCTTGGGAGGCATCTGGCCACCAAGGAGGGACTGCATCTTCCCTCCCCTAACATGGAATCACAGAATTGGGAGGCTCCTTTTCATACAAGAGTGCTGACATCTCTAAAGAAACTATTCATTCTATTTTAATGAAACTGATTTTTCCTTGTCTTTAATCTCACCAAAAGGAAACAAAAACAAAAACACCTTGGCTTCTCATTTTCCTTTCAAATTCCACAGCCAAAGTCTCTATTCTGATCACAGGCAGATCCTGCATATGTCCCAGGGTCCTGGGTAGGTAAAGAGTTCTCCAAATTTTGCTTGGGGCCACAAAGAACACAGGTCTATTTTAGGTATTTTGTTAGCACAAAGTTTCCATTTGTTGTGTTTTTTTTGAAGTGGATAGTGCTTTCTTTTCTTTTTCTTTAATATTTTTTAAGTTGTTGATAGACCTTTATTTATTTATATGTGGTGCTGAGAATTGAACCCAATGCCTCACACATGCCAGGCAAGTGCGCCACTGCTGAGCCCCAGCCCCAGCCCTGGATAGTGCTTTCTTTTCTTTCCTTTGTGAGGATCTAGAACCAGGTGGAGTTTCCCTTAGCAGTCCAGAAAAGCAAATTCAGGTAGTCCTCCTATCCTCAAGTTTCATATTGGTGACTTCAACCATCTGCAGATTGAAAATATTTTTTAAAAACTGCATATGTGGGGGCTAGAGCTGTGGCTCAGCAGTGGAGTGCTTGCCTTGCACGTGCAAGGCCCTGGGTTCGATCCTCAGCACCACATAAAATAAATAAACAATATAAAGGTATTGTGTTCATCTACAACTAAAAAAGGTACTAAAAAAAAAAAAAGAACTGCACATGTGGGGCTGGGATTGTGGCTTAGAAGTAGAGTGCTTGAATTGTAATGCAAAATAAAAATATATATATTTGTAAATGAAAAAAAAAAGAAGTAGAGTGCTTGCCTGGCACGTGCAAGGCCCTGGGTTCGATCCTCAGCACCACATAAAAATAAATAAATAAAATAAAGGTATTGTGTCCAACTACAACTAAAAAAATAATTATTAAAAAAAAATAAAATAGTTCTTAAAAAAAACCCTGCATATGTGCTGACTGTATAGACGTTCCCCTTGTTATCCCCTAAATGATAAAGTCTAATAACTATTTATACAGCATTTACATTGTATTGGTGGTTTAAGTCATCCCTAGATGATTTTGAACATATGGGCGAATGGGTGAAGGTGCTATGCAAATACCACGTCATTTTAAATAAGAGACTTGAACATTGAAGTTTCAGTATCCCCAGTGGGTCCTGAAACCAGTCATGCCCACTATCCCACCTTGCAGATATAAAAGGGTAAAACAACTCTAAGGGGTTCTCATAGAGACCTCTATGATTCTGTGGCTTATTCTTGACCCTAAGTTATTCTTCTTGACCCTAAATGATCCTCTTGAGAAAAAGAGTCACAGTAGGGAGGAGGATGCTGAATATTAAGGAATGAAAGACCCTGGAAGTGGAGAATGTGGGCAAGGAACCTGAGAACCGAGTCAGGTCTTGCCTCTGAATAATGGGATGTGAAGTCATATTGCCACTGGGGACAGTCACCACAGCCATTTGTTTTTGTTTTGTGTTTCCTAGCTTTCTGGGAGAACTCACCTCCAGGTAAGTCTCTTCTCCTCCCTTTCCACTTGATTCGCAGGACGTCGGATTTTGCCTCTTCTCCTCCCATAACATATGTCACTACATCTAGTAAGCAGCACAGGGAACTTGGAACACTGGTTGCCCAGCCATGCCTGAGTGAAGTTCCTGGACCACATTCCAGGGAATGCATTGCAAAATCTTTTTTTTGGTACCAGAGATTGAACCCAGGGGTACTTAACCACTGAACCGCATCCTCAGCCCTTTTTCTATTTTGAGACAGGGTCTCACTGAGTTGCTTAGGGCCTCACTAAGTTGCTGAGGCTGGCTTTGAATTCATGATCCTCCTGCCTCAGTCTCCCAAATTGCTGGGATTACAGGGTACACCGCTGTGTCCAGTAAGCCCTTCCTCTTAAGAGGAACTGAAGAAGCTGGTCTCTGGGCAGCTCTACTCATATGTTAGAAGTGATGCTGCTGCCTCTGGAGCATCATGCAGTGCTTAGCTCACTAGTGTGTGTCTGGGGTGACAAGTAGGTCTACACCTCACAAAGAGACTCCTCCAGAAAGTCCACACACTCCGCATAGCTGTCTAGCTGTCTTCTGCACCTGTATGCAGTGCAAGACATGAATTATACCATTTTAACCACTTTAAAGTGCACAATTCAGCAGCATTAAGTAGTTTTACAATGTTATAAAACCACCACCACTATCTAGGTCCAGAATATTTTTGCTATCTGAAAGGGAAACCTAGTACAAATTAAGTAATCACTCCTGTTTCCCCTCCCACAGCCTCTGGCAGCTACTAATCTGCTTGCCAGTGTTAACTATCCTGGATATTGCCTATAAATGGCATTGTATAATAAGGAGCCTTTTTGATTGACTTTTATCATTGGCGTAATGTTTTCAAGGATCATCTGTGTTGTAGCATGAACTAATACAGTACTTTATTCCTTTTTATGGCTGAGTAATATTCCACTGTATGGATATACCACATTATGCATATTTTGGGGGGATTGTTTCTACCTTTTGATAATTGTGAATGGTGACAGCTTCCTTTTAAGTCATGCACAAAGAAGGAACAAATTTGAGTCAGGTGTGGTGGTGCACTCCTGTAATCCCAGTGATTTCCTCCCCCTGAGTCAGGAGGTTTGCAGGTTCAAGAACAGCCTCAGCAACTTAGACCCTGTCTTAAAAAAGGCAGTGGGGGTGGGGGGATGGGGAGATGGGGACCTAGCTCATTGGTAAAGCATTCCTGAGTTCAATTCCCAGTACCAAAAAGAAAAAAAAAATTAGAAATATTTGAGTCAGCATTGACTTGACATGGTCTTTTACCCCAATTCTTATCATCTTCATCTCTTATCTAGAACCCAGGTCACACCCATTTCTTTTAGATCCTATCTGTACCTGTGTTATTTAAACAAATGTGCTTGGCCCAGAGGTCAGCCCTGGGCAGGAAGCAGGGGGCCCTAGAATGCAAGGAGGAGCCTGTTTTCTCACCTCTCTCCTCATCTTTCTGTTCTCCCTTTCTCTGAATCTCTCTTTCGTCCTCCTTCCTGACTCCTTTCCTTCCTTCTTTTTGGTATAAATTCCAAGTCGCCCCAAAGTCCTCTAACTTTTGGAGTTCAGCAGACTGTTGTGCTCTCTGTGCCCACCCTTGACACACCAGCCTCACACAGGTTTTAACACATTCAGGATGTTGCACCTTGTTGCAAAGACTATTTTAAAATCCATCCTCCCTCAGAATTGCAAGTTCAAGGCCAGCCTCAACAACTTAGCAAGGCCTGAGCAACTTAGTGAGACCTTGTCTCAAAATAAAAATTATAAAGGGTTGGGATGTGGCTCGGTGGTTAAGCACCCCTGGGTTCAGTCCTGACTACCAAAACCCCAAAACAACAACGACAAAATCTACTCTGTCCTTCCTGTCGGATTTTGCCTCTTCTCCTCCCATAACATATGTCACTACATCTAGTAAGCAGCACAGGGAACTTGGAACACTGGTGGCCCAGCCATGCCTGAGTGAAGTTCCTGGACCACATTCCAGGGAATGCATTGCAAAATCTCACTTGACTATATTCTGATTTCTGTTTTGCTTTGAGTTCTGCTAAATTATCTTTCAGCTTGGGCCTGGGGATATTTTATGAAGCCACTAACCTTGTGTGTGTGTGTGTGTGTGTGTGTGTGTGTATCTACTAACCAGCCTACATTCTTTTTTTCTAGCGAAGTGGCCACTGAGGTACCATTCCGTCTCATGCACCCCCAGCCTGAGGACCCAGGTTAGTTGCGCCATTGTCCAGGCTGTCTCGAGCTCTTCTCCCCTGGTAGACTTATTGGTACTCATTCCTTGTCTTTCTTGACTGCACCTCTGAGTAGGGGGGTTACCAGGTGACATCCACAAGGTGACTGGGCTAGCCCAGAAGAAAGCACTCACCTGTTCACCCCCTGGAGCCTGTGTGAAGGATGTAATGGAAAACCCCAGAATCTCTGCTGTCAATAGACCTAGATTTAGATTTTAGGATGATTTAGTTTGAGAGCCCAAGGCTTTTGCATTTCATTTGGAAACAAAAGGCCTAATGTATCATTTGGAAGCATTCATAGGCATCATGATGAGAATACAGAAAAGACTAGAAAAGAGGGTCAGGCTGGGATCCTCACATCTTGGCTCATTTGACTTATAAATCCATTGGCTCTTGATGGATGTCAAGTGAAGGATAGTGTACAACTCTGTGTTTAACATCAGCCTTGTTGAACTGTCACTGTAAAGAGAACTGGATGATATGGAGTTAGATCTCAAGGAAGTTCTTTTAAGAAAAGCTCAATGAGCTGGGCGCAGTGGCACATTCCTGTGATCCCAGTGGCTTGGGAGGCTGAGGCAGGAAGATGGTGAGTTCAGAGCTAGCCTCAGCAACTTTGCAAGATCCTAAGCAAGTCAGCAAGACCCTGTCTCTAATAAAATACAAAAAAGGGCAGGTGATGTGGTTCAGTGGTTAAGTACCCCTGGGTTCAATTCCTGGTACCAAAAAAAAAAAAAAAGCTCAATGAGGGGTCAGTGGTAGAGCATGTACTTAGCAAGCATGGGGCCCAGGGTTTTGTTCCAAGTGTTGGAAAAAAAAGTAAATGAGGCAGCAGAATTAATCCAGGTGCATCTTAGAAACTCCAAGGAAAAATTCTCCCCTATATAATTAGGCAGGTTGATAGAAAAATCAACCTGTTTGAGAATTCTCCATAGTTATAATAATAAAGACTTTTAAGTAAAAGTGGTATAAACCAGCAGGGTTTCTTTTCCTCGTATTTGACAAATAGTTTTTCTATGTTGAAAATGAGATGGTATTTACCCATTAAAATGAGTCCTCATATTCATTTTAGGTTTTGGCTCAAAATATTTTGTCTCAAAATATCTTTTCCAAATATTTTAGATTCAAACTCTCTATGCGCATTGGCAAAAGCTTCTGGTTAAATAGTTAATCTTACATTTTTGATTAACTTATGCTTGTATCATAAAAATGGTCTTTATTTTTTACATTTATTTGGGAGTAATTAGGACTTTAAGCCGGGGAAAACACAGATTCAGTCTTGAAAATGTGGTCCCAATCTTCAATTGTTCTTTTAAGGACATTCAAATGATAACCACCCAAAGAGCTTTAGGCAGACTTTGTGAGTTAATTTTTTGTTAAAGAACTTTTAAGCAAAAAAACCAGGAGCAAATGGCATGGGCCCCTTTTCCATCTTGGGGAAAGCCTTGATCGGTTCCTTTGCTGCTGAAGAGTTACTCTTCCTTCCCATGTATCATTTTGATGTTTCTGTTGCTATGGCCCTTACATTGGACATCTCACAGTGTCAGGACAAAACAAAATCTTTTGTCCTCTGAGATTTTGGAGGCAAGAATTAGGACAAATCATCCTGTGGTTACAAAACTCTGATTTCCTGAGACCTAAGAGTGACCAAATCTCATGGCTCTCATTTTCTGCCTAGTTCCTGACTCCCTGAGTAGAGGTGGTAGAGTCTAAGCAGAGAAAGCATGATTTATAGTTAGGCCTTGCCAGAGCCAGGGGCCAAGAAATTTGTACCTAGCAAGTGCTGAAGAAGTAAAAGTGTTTTTATTGTCTGCTGCCAAGAGCATCCACCAAACCCCAGAGTGTTGACTGGATCCGTCCTGTTGACTGCCTTTTCAGGGATGAGGGTCCCAGTTAGTGGGTTTTACTGCTCAGCACTGTAGGGCTCCAGGGTATTCTTGTCAGGGAAAAGTTTGATGAGTTAGGCTCTCTTTGGGTCTCTGTGCTCAGTGGTTCTCACAGATATTCCCTCCTGTACTGGCTTCTAGGTAGGCCTGAGACACAAAAGCATAAGTTCACCATCAAACCACTGCTTCCCAGTTTCTGAAGCTCTTTAACTGCACCAGAACTTTATTAGGTGACCAGAAAACTAAAAAAGAACAAAGCATACTCAAATGGTTAGCAACTCATCTAGGGATATGAAACACATGAAAACCTAACCTGACCCCAGAAGATCAAACTGAGGCGTGAGGGGGTGGTCCTCAGGTGTTAGTGCACACCCTTACCCAGGGTGCTGGTATACATCAGGCCCTACGAGTCATCCCCGAGAGCCCGATGGGCTGGTGCCTGGAGCTGCATGGTCAGTCTCCATGTGACTCTGACCTCAATGGGGGTCCAAAGGACACTTAAGGAGAAATACTTTGAAAAGAGGAGTGACATACAAAGGGTGGGGACAATCAGGGAAGGTCCAAAGGTGAGATTATGGCAGTTTCAGGCACCCTGTAAAAAAAGTGATGGTGGGCTGGGGCGTGGCTTAGAGGAAGAGCTCTTATCCAGCTTGTATGAGGCCCTGGGTTCCATCAGTGCCCTCAAAAATCAAAGGCAAAACCAAAAGAGAGTGATGGCTAAAGATGCAGACAGAAAGGCTAAGAACAGAAGTCACACCCAGCCACCAAGAAAGACGCCTTCAGAACTTACTACCCCTCAAACTGCTCAGTTGAAAGGGGAGACAGTCCAGGCGCTTGGTGTGGAATTGATTTTAACGTCTCCTTCTCTCTGCTCTCTCCCTCTCTCCTTCTTTCTGGGCTCACAGCAAAGGAAAGGTAAGCCACCAATCTCTGCTCTGTTTCTCTGACCTGTGACTCCTCCTCCTGCATAGACCCCTCTTGGGGTCTCTGTGCCCTTCCCTTGTGTCCTCTAGCTCCCAAGGGCTATGCTGGGTGTATCCCTCACTTGTGGGCTCTCTTCTTTTCTCCTTTTTGTTAAAGAACTTTTAAACAGGCTGGGTGCCGTGGGATTACACGCCTGTAATCCCAGCAGCTCAGGAGGCGGAAGCAGGAAGGTCCAGAGTTCAAAGCCAGCCTCAGCAATTTAGCAAGGTGCTAAGTAACTCAGTGAGACCCTGTTACTAATAAAATACAAAATAGGGCTGGGGATGTGGCTCAGTGGTCAAGTATCCCCTGAGTTCAATCCCTGGTACCCCCCACCAAAAAAAAAAAATCTTTTAAACAAACAACAACAAAAAAAAAAAATGAGGAAAATGGCATGGGCCCCTGTTCCATCCTGGGGAAAGCCTTGATTCATTCCTTTGCTGCCAAAAGAAGATCAAGGGTCTTGGTTCTCTTGAGATTTCATTCTCAGCTCTGAGAGGGCACTGAACAAGGTGTCTCTGTTTTCTTTTTAGTTTTCAGGATGCAAATTTGGTTTTTGAAGAGTTTGCTCGCCAAAATCTGAAAGATGGGGGAGACACTGCGGAAGGGAAGAAGGAGGCTGTCAATGATGAGTGAAAATATCGGCTCAGACTCCCGCGAGCGGCTGTAGTTCCTGGTGCCAGGAGCAAAGCCCCACAGTCAGCCCTTCAGTTGTGCTAGATAGGAAAGTCCGAGTTTCCTCCTGGAAATAAAGTGTGTCATGTGATCCCTGGTTGCAAGTGGGGTTGATTGACTGGGACTTTGAGCTTCTGACCCTGATGCAGAAGTTGCCGCCTTTAGCGCCCTGGCTCCTGAGGGGAAAGGGGCATCATCTAGAAGAAAGGCCAGCCACCACAGAATGGCTCAGCAGTGGCCACTGAGGGGAGAAGGTGTCTGGAAGTCAGTGTGCCACCCAGTGGGACCTGGGGTGTCCAGGAGGCTTTGGGTCCTGGTCTCTCTAACTTGTTTCTCTGGAAACATATGGTGAGAGATTTCTAATTGACCAATCCTAGCCCCAGGGTTCTTCTTAAAGAGGTTCCTGAAATTAATGGGGCAGAGAACAAGTTGGGCAAAAATACCCTTTGTTGCTGATTCCACTTTGGGGGTCAAGTCCCTGATCGAGCCCTGGATAGTTGGTTAAGTTTCTATTGAGTGTGAGCAACAAAATCAGATTTGTTTAGCTTTAGGGGCAAATGGAATGTAGTAGAAGGACCCTGGAGTGGCCAGGGAACTCAACTGAAGGAAGATCCTGAGCTCCCATTGCTGGGGTGGGCAGAGACCTGCCAAGCTCTGGGCGTTCATCCCAGGAGCTTGGGGACCTGCCATTTGCATGACAATTTATGTGACTCAGCACCACGAATTGAGCTCTGTGGTCCAGGTCCTGCTTTGTAGTTCCTGGGAAGTAGAATCTGATTGGCTCAAGGAGGCTGATCAAATCCCAATGCCAGTGACAGCAGAGCTTGGCCATGAGGATAGCTTTCTCCAGACAAATGGGTCCACTGTGAGCCACGTGGGCTTCCTGGGTGCACTGTGCTTCATTGAGGTGGGGCATAAAGAAGGAGGGGATGCTCTGAGTCAGGGAGGGAGATGGCCCTAAGGAGAGGAACATAATGGGGGTGCTTCTAGGGCACTTTCTGTGAAGGTCTGGCCCATGGCACCCACCAGCCTGGAGCCTAATGTGATGCCAGGGGGGATGAGCAGCTCTCCGGGCAGCCATGGGAAGACTTGGGGATGTGTAGCTCTGGGCTGTGCTTCTAGGGAGCAGGTAAAAGGGTTCTGGAGACTTCTCCACTGCTCAGCCCACTTGCTGAAGGCAAGGGTTGAGGGGAGAGTGTTATGTGTGAGGTGTACTGTTGGGTTGGGTTTGGGGATCTAGTGCCACAGCAGAGGGTTGGATAGGGCCTGGGCTCCTGAGTGTGAAGACTTCCAATGCGTGAGGCTGTCCAATGGATTCCTGGCTGCTCTGTGTCTTGGGGCTTGGGATGGAGACCTGGAGGGCCTCTGGGGAACCTTTCATGGGTTCAAAGACAAAGCAAGGTTTGGACCTGCGTGCGACTTTGAGGCATCCTGGTATTGGCAGAGATGAGGATTCGTTTCTGGAACTATGCTACTATTGCTGTAGAAGACGAACGTTGTGGGTCAGGAGATCAGACAGTTTTCTTCTCCCAAACCGAGGGAACAGTGCATCATCAGACCAGCCCATGCTGCTCTCTCAGGTACCCAGACAAAGGGGCAATTACGATGGCATGCTCCTGTTCACCCCCCCCCACCAAGTCCTCCCTTGCCTTTTGCGGCAAGCACACAGGTCTGTGTGGTTAGCTCCTGCTGGAGTTCTGGGCCAGCCAAGGGCTTTGGACTCCGCCCTGCATTGCCTGGTGAGGACCAGCCTGTTGGTTCCTGCATTGCTTGACCCCAGGACATCCTAAGTCAGGGTGGACGTTAATAGTCCTGACCTTTGGAACTGTGTGGGTGGAAAAGCCAGAGGGAGGGTTGGGTGGCCAATCCCTGGATACCAGAGGTCAGAACAGCCCTTGCCCTCCGAGTTGTTTTGGTGCCAAGATGTCCTGATATAGCCCTCCAGGTGCTGGTTTGCTATGACTCGCAGCTGGCCACCCTGGGGGAGTGGGGCAGGAAGTGAGCAGCTGGCTGACCTAGTAAGCCAGCACTCGGGATGTGGAACATTGGCTCTGCTCAGCCTCCACATTTGTGTTTGTGGAGTTGTCTCCACTGGCATGGAGGTTCCCCTGACTCCACCCCCAAGAGACAGGAAGTCTGTAGGCAGGTTGAGTATGTGGCCCAGGGACTGCAGGGAGGTGCAGTGCCAGAAACATATTCTGAAGGAGTTGAGGGTACTGCACAGAGAAAAGTTGGGGCTGAGAAATTGAGGCAAAAGTCTGGAGAACAGGCATTCCTGAATTTATTGAGTGCCTGGCTCGTGCCAGGCACTTTATGTAGGACATCTGATTGTAAAGCAGAAAAGGGTCATGAGGCCAGGAACCACAGAACAAGAATAAGGCACCAAAAGGAGTTTTATTGAGTGCGGGGGGGGGGGGGGCAGGTGGAGGCAGCATGCAAAGTTCACCAATCCAGAAAGGGTAAGCAAGGCGAAACAATACCTATACAGGTCACTAGAGGTAGGAGGACCCTATATAGGTCACTAGGGGTAGGAGGCTCAGCGGAGTTTAGGGGCCTGGTTTAAGGGCTGGGTCTCTTTAGCGAGGTGGTGAAAAGTCCTGGCCCTTGGCCACCATGGGATGGGGAGGAGAAAGGGGAAGGGAGGGGAAAGGGAAGGGAAAGCTGCCTGCCAGACACTGATCATTCCAACATGCAGTTGGTCCTGCCACTGCCCCTTGTCAGATGAGGGGAAACTGAATTCAGGAGGTTAAGTACTTTACTCAAGGTTCCACAGTTAGAGAATCCAAGCTAAGACTTGAATTCTATTTCCCTGAGTCTATACCAGACCTTTGCCCACTGGGTGGTGCTGAATGGGAGTAGGAGAGTTCAGAGGGTCAGAGAGAGAGAATTAGCATTTATGATTAAGCAATGACTGCCCTTGAATTCTTTGTTATCAACTGAATTTATGTGTGATAACAATTGCACTTTAGCCAGGTAGTGGTGGGGTGTGCCTATAATCCCAGCTACTTGGGAGGCTGAGGCAGGAACATCTCAAGTTGAGGTCAGGCTTGGCAAGTTCAAGGCCAACCTGGGCAACTTAGCAAAAACCATCTCAAAAAAAAAAAAAAAAATGGCTGGGGAAGTAGCTCAGTGGTAAAGCATCCCTGGATTCAACCTCCAGTACTGAAAAAAAATTGTACATTCATGCAGTTAGGAATAATACAGAGAACTCTCACGAACCCCTATCCAATAGTGACATTTTGTAAAACTGTAGTAGTACAATATCACAACCACGGTTCTGACATTGGTACAACCCCCCTATCTGTTCAGATTGCCCCACATTTTTTTTTTTTTTAATGTGTACCGGGGATTGAACCCAGGTCACTTATGCCCCTTAAGCCAAGTCCACAGCCCTTTTATTTTTTGAGACAGGGATTCACAGAGTTGCTTAGGCCCTTGTTCAGTTGCTGAGGGTGGCTCTGAACCTGCAATCCTTTTGCCTCAGCCTCCAAGCCACTGGGATTATAGGCACGTGCTACCCATTTGGTTCAGATCTCCCCAATCTTATACTCCTGAGTGTATCAAGTTTTCTGTGGTTTTATCACATGTAGTTAACTTCTTTTTAGTATGTTTGTTTTCCTATTTCTTTAACATTTTTGGTTGTTTTCATCTTAGTTTAATTTCACAGTTTACTGATCTTAGGAGGCAGAATAGGTGGGAGATAGGTTTGGGCATGTTTGGAAATGGGTGGTGTGGTTTTAGGTTGTCACAATGTCTGGGGGCCCAGAGAAGCTATATGTCACATGCAGTGAAAAAATATCCCCCTGCAAGCATCAACCAGAACACTAGTTCAGGGCAACAAGTTAACTCTTGCCAGGGAAGTACTGGACCTGAGCAGGGTTTGGGACGTTATCCCCACGTTTGCAGGTGGATGTGGGAACATTTTAACGTGAAGTGGTTCTTTCTGACAGGGTTGTACCTCTCTGCCAACATGTCACAAAGAAGGATTAGGCTGGATGTGAAGTGTGTTATTATTGCCACCTTGACATGCCCTCAAGGAAGGGTGAACCCAGGGCGCAGCATAACATTAGACATGATTCACAGCCTGACTCATTCAGTAAAGAGGCACCCAGGGGGGATGTGCTCGTCCCCTCTGGGGGAGGCGATGCAAAGCCCTTCCTGAGATCCCCAAGGGAACTGAACTGTGCATCCACCAGGGGAAACAAAAGGATTCTTCATGTGTCAAAGAAAATTCTCACCTTAGTTGGGTGATGTGTTTTTAGGTTGTCACAATGTCTGGGGGCTTTTAGAACACAACATACTTCTTACCAAGACCAATACTCTAAAATACACTTTTTATTTCAAATAGTTTTGGATACACAGAAAAGACAGTACAGAGATGCCACGTCCAGCTTTCCATATCATAACATCTTATATACTTTTGCCACACTGAATGATTCAACATTGATATACTATTAAACTAAAGCCCATACTTTGTTTAGATTTCTTAAGTTTTTACCTAATTTCCTTTTCCTGTTTCAGGATCCGGTCTAGGACCCTGCGTGATGTTTAGTTGTTACATCTTCTTGATCTCCTCTCGGCTGTGCCAATCTCCAACACTTCTTAGTTGCAGATAACTTCCTCCCTCCCTGGTCACTCACACTCACACTCATGCCCATGGCTTTTGCCTCTAAAATCGGAGAATTGTGGAACCCAGATGTCCCGAGCTTATTCTTCCTCATCCTAGGCTACTCTCTTCTAGTGACATTATATCCCCGAGAAAGCCCCACAGGGGAGGCACCCCAATTCCTCCTGCTCCCCCTTTTAACTGGATCAGTTGGTCCCTCCTCTTCTTCTGCTGTGTCTCTCCTGTCAGTTCAATCTCCATGACCACCACCTTGGTCCTGGCCACTCATCACTGACCTTTTAAATGCCCTTCCTGTTTCTAGTCTTTTCTCCTTTGCATCATTCTCTGCCCAGACATCTGTTTTCCAAAGTCCTTTGGTGGCTCCTGGCTCTGGTGCCCATGGGATGACATCCTAGTTACACAGCCTGGCAGAAGATGCAGGGGACCGTGCTGCCTTCGCCTGTCCCTCACCCTTTATCCAAGGTGCAACCCTGCTCAGGTCCGATGCTCCCCTGGCAAGAGTTAACTCTTTCTGTGTACATGTTGCACTTAATCTATATCTACTTTATGGTGCTGGGGATGGAAACCAGGGCTGGGAGAGAGCTCCATCCTTGAGCCCCAACCCTCTCACGATATTGTAGTCAGCTAACACAAAAGACCCAATCTGTGGGGAGGCCGAATTAGATCCAAGGCTACCTTAATATCACAGCCAATGTGGCTTCAGCAGCAGGAATCTGGAAGCTGTGAGGCTGCGCAGTCTAGGGCCTTGGGCCTCTTCCTTGGAGGCCTCTCCCCGTGTTTTTGCATGGTTGTCCTCGTCTGTGTCAAAATTTCCTTTCCTTTTTTTTAATTTTTGGAATTGGAAGTCACATTCTGAGGGTCTGGGAGTTAGGACTTTCCCACATAAATTATAGAAGTATAAGACTCAGCCCATACTGTACCCCCTCTCCACTTTCTACCTATGAGATCCTGTAGGCTTCAGCTTCCTGAGGGAGCTACCATGCAGCTCTGTGGGTCTGGAAATCACTTGGGGTTCAAATCCTGCCTCTCTAGTACACCCTGGGAGAGAGATCTGAGCCTTCCACGTCTGGGTCGTCATCCCCAGAATGAGGCTGTCCCACTGGCTCTGTGGGGAACAGGGGAAGACAAGCAGCACTAGTCATGTCCTGTGTGTACCCAGGACTCAGGACTTGAGTGGTCACTATCCTTTTGAGCGCAGAATTTTCTGGTGATAGAAGTGTTTTATATTTGTGCTGTCCTTTGTGATAGATATCATGTCACACATGGCTACTGAGCACTTAAAATGTGGCTAACGTGACTGAAGAACCAAAAGTTTAATTTTAATGAATTCTGACTACACACATGAGGCTGTAGTACAGGGTAGTGCAGCCTGGTGCAGCCTGGAACACCCAGGGTTCCTAGGCCTGTTCAGAGAATTTCTGTATCAAGCCCTGTCATCGTTTTCTGGCTATGAGATCAATCTTGGCCTCCTCCCTGTGCCAGATGCTACCCTATGGCCTCTGGGATGCTAGGCTTGCTTGCCTCTGGAAGGCACTATCCAGTGACCCTTTGAAATGGTTAAGGGAACTCTTGGCAGACCCCTCTCCAAATGCCCTCTAGCAAGACACACAAATAGACAGCATTTCCTCCCAGGTGGTACCAAGTCCTTTCCACCTGGATGTCCCAATAGGCACCCAAACTTGTATGGTTTCATCTCCAACTGCACTTCCTCCTCTTCTTCCCCACTGAAGGGCAGTCCCAGAGGGCTCTTTCAGGGCTCCTCTGTTCCCTCCAGAGTCTGAGTCCACTTCTCTATTACACAGTCCCTCCCAATAGTCCAGGAGGCCACTTTACCCCCCATCACTACAAAGCCTGGATCTGAGGCCCCAGCTTTGTGATCCAGCCCCGCCCAGGTTTAAATCCCTCAGCGGCTTTCGGCTGCCCTCAGGCCTCAGCAAAAAGGCCAACCACATTACCTGGTTCATAAAGACTTGTTTGACCTGCCCACCCCAGGGGCTCTTAATGCCATTTTGTACCTCTAAGCTCAAGTTTTCTTTTTCAGGAAGATTCGTTCTTTCTGGCCTCTGGGCTTTTGCATAGATATGTTCTTTCTTTCTAGAATACGGTTACCTGTTTGGGATTCCTGCTCATTTTCTGTCTCTATCTCCTTAAACTTCTTTTTAACCAGAAAGCCTTCCAGATGGTAGTGAGCGTCCAGGAAGCGCCCTGTCGCGGCATCGCGGAGCCCGTCCGCACCTCTTCTCGGTGCAGGCAGGCGAGCATCCTCTCTCGGAACTGTGTAGCCGACACAGTGCGGGAGATCACTTAGAATTAAGGTGAAAGACGGGAAAGATTAAAAAGGAAGCGAACACAGAAGCAAAGACACACAAATTGTGTCCCTAGAAGAAAACCGACAGCAGCCGGGATGACAGGGGGTCCCAGCAGGGCAACCCAGCCGGGGCTGGCAGGGGCCCGGGCGCGCCGCCGTCTGCGGCTGCGCGCGGCGGGGCGGGGCGGGGCTGAGGGCCGCCGGCCCCGCCCCTGCAGACCCCGCCCCGCCCCGC